CTCTAACCTCACCAAGAGAACTTTAGCTTATCTTGCAAAACATTCTCACAAGTTCTAGAGAGAAAATATGAGACTGACAGCAAGACGACAGAAAACTGAATATTCAAAGCTTTCTAAAACCTTAGGCCAACCCCTCTATTTATAGTATTCAGAGGTTGCCTGTCAAATAAGGAAATAAATTGTAAAACTAGAAAATTACAAAAGAAAAGGAAACAAAATAAAATTACACATAAATTAGGAGAAATCACATATTTGATTTGGGAAAGGAATCTGGTAATTTGCTCTGATTTTTGGGGAAGGAATTCGAATTCAGCACCAAAGGGGACACGTGTCGCAACGTGATTGGAAGTGAGGAGAAAACGTGCCACGTGTCGTGGGCGGATTGGTTGGATTGTGCTGGCGCGGGCAGAGTGGGGGACAAGGTTTGACAGTTGTCGCACGCGGAGAAGAGCTTGGGATGGCACGCTGACACGCGGGACCCACGTTGCTGAGGAGTCAGACACGCTAGAGGATCGCGCGGAGGAAGAACGCGCGCCCTGGGATGTTTGCGTGCTGGTGACGCGCGCGAGGTGGAGTGAGGAAGGCAGGCGAGCTGGGGCCCATGGGGAAATCGGCTTTGGCTTCGGCTCACACGGCTCTTCTCTCTTTTGGCTAGTGAGGCTCGGCTTAGTGGCTTGGCTCCGGGTGGTTGAAAACATAGCTTTTATGGCTTATTTTTATGTAGCTTTTTACACTGCTTTTTATTTGTAATTAAGCAAAAATTAGACAAATTCTAATTAAAAATATTATGAATAAAAATAATATAATTGTTTAATTAAAGCTTAAATATTTTAATATTATATAAATCAAAAACAGTATTCATGGTGCATTTTCATGCACTAATCAATAAATTTTAAGAAATTAAGTATATCGTTAATGAACAATTTTAAGAAAATTGAGTGCCTTGTCCACAAGTAAAAATGTTGTCCTTTTCTATTCCATGAGTTGTATAATGTATTTTATTTTACTCATTCAATGTGCTGGAAATATTGGAAATTTTCTTATTGGCTTGTACTCGCTATTGACAACTTCAATAGCACGATTAGGAACACAAAGGACATTGCTTTTTTTTTTTTCTTTTGTGCTTTTGTACAGTACAATTTGTTATTTGATACACAAACAACTCTCTTCAATCTTCACAATTATAACGACGCGTTATAGCATACGACATTAAACACAAATAAAATGGATCATCACAATATGAGCAATATACATGAGATTGTCATGTATGCTTTTACTTCAAAAAAAAGATACACTTGTTATTACAGAAAGTTACATGTTCGTTTTTGTATAGCATTTTTCTTTCTTAAAGTGTGTTTCTACATTATTATATACATGTCATATTACGTTATTTCTCCTCAACCGGTTATAATGGGCGCGTTTAGAATTCGTTCTAAAATGATTTTATTTTTTGTATGAAAATATTTTCAATCTTAGACATAAATCATTTTTAAAAATGTATTTAGTAGTTTTATTAAGAAATTATTTTCAGTATAAAAAAATCCATTAATATCTCTATCTCTTTCTCTCTTCTCAAAAAATTAGAAAACGAAAATAAAAAATAAAAAACGACTAAAAATTATTTTTTATTTATCTCTTATTTTACACTAAACTAAAAAATTATTTTTATTTTTATTTTTTATCTTTAATACGTCAAACGTTATTTTAAAAATATTTTTATTTTTTAAAAAAATATAAAAAATAAAAATAAGATGAATTCCAAGTAGGTCGAATATATCCTTCTCACCTCGACCAACTAAAAAAAAAAAAAAAAAAAAAAAAAAAAAAAAAAAAAAAAAAAACCTGAGGCCTGACCAGATGACCGACAAGTGTTTTTTTGCCTTAAAATATTTACTCATCAATCTAGACCCAATATAGGTGTTGCCTTAAAATATATTTGAGTCCTTCGAGTACTTTGGGAGATGGTCAGAATTTAATTAACACATATATTTTTAGGTATTTAGAACGTGGGCTTTTAATCTACCCACCTTCAATGACCCAGAACGATTAATTATCTTATCCATTTTAATTAATGAACAATTATCTTATATATATATATATATATATATATTTCTGCTTTATTGAAGTAGTTGGAGTCACGTGTTCGTACGCGTGAAATTTTATAAGAATAGTAAAGTAATATCACACATTTTGAGATATTGTAGAGTTTTTGGCTAAAATCAACCTTAATATTTTTAAATTTATTTAAAACATATTTTTATGTTCATATGAAACAGCAAGTTTATCTTTTTAACAATGAATATTTATTGATGAAGGAATGTTTAATAAGAATTTTATTGTTTTTCTTCATTTTTTTATGGTCCTTTGTATCATCCTTTGTGCATATTTATTGGAATATTCATTTCGAGTCATTCAAATTTCATATTCATTCTTATACGTATTTTTTAGATCACTGCATTAATTAAACAATTTCGCATGTGTTTATTTTTTCGTATATGTTGATTGTTTGATACATATTGTATTGCTTTTTTTTAAGCATGTTTCTTAATTATGTCACGATTAAACTAATGAAAAGACTTTTTTTTTCTTTGTAGCATATATTTTGTTTCATAATGATTTATTACATATTCTTTTTCATAATGGTTTCATCATTAAAATAATGAAATTATATATTCTTTGTATCTTATATATTCCCTAATGACGACTTATTTTCATTTGATAAAGCTTCATAATAATATCATACCCTTTATGTTGTGACTCAATCCTTTTTAAATTATATTGTAACTGATTTTCATTTAACTGATTTATTTTGTAATTTTTTTTCATTATGATGTGATCATTATATTAAGGAAAATATTTTAATAAGGATCAAATGAAAATATTTTGATGGTTTGGATGATTACAAATCCATTTGATGAATAATTTAACAATCCATTTGATTACAATCCATGAAGAAGACGAATAATTTAACAATCCATTTGATGGTTTGGATGATTACAAATCAATTTCCAAGAAATCATTTTCTTGGATTCCATTCAAACTAATACCCACCCGTCTAAAAAGGATATCATGTGAGAAGATATTCATAAATCTTTTCAGGAGACCAAATCTCTTTTTCTCAATAAAGAAATAACTAGTAAGTAATTTTAGAATATAAGAAAAAAATGAAATTATATATATTTAAAATATATTTGTTCTTTAGTTTATTCTTATTAAAGTGATTTCTCTCATGTGTTTCTTTTTTCATATATATATATAATTTTTACCCCTAATTATTTTCTCGTTTAGCTCCCTCTAAAATTTTTTATTTCTAAGTTTTAAATTAATTGTTTTAAGAGTTTTTAAAAGTTTATTTACTTTGCCCCTCTAAAATTTTCTGATCCTAAATTTTATGCAAGATATTTAAAAATTAAAATGATTTCATTTACCCTCTCAATTTTAACTTAGAATTATATTTACTACATACTTATTTTAGTTTTAACTGAAGCGTCCTCTGGAAAATTTTTCTGACTTCTTCCCCCCCTGCTACCAGGATAAGTCCTTTTGTCGTCTCGTCGTCACACGCTTCTGGATTCGACTCTTGCAACGACAATGTAAGTAAACATCATGTTCCTTTCATCGTCGTTTGCCCCAGATTCAGCTCTCTCTTTTTTTTCTTTTTTTTTTTTTTTTTTGGTGCTCGTCAACGAGGCTCTGGAAAAAGCTATCCATTTTCTTCATACGACACACGTCTTGATCATCCTCTTATCAACCCCTTGAAAATCAACCTACGCAAGTGATGATATATATAATAAAGGCAAGAAATCGTTTATGTTTGAGCTCCCTCCCTCATCATAGACTGGAATTTCTGTGCCCCTCCAATAAAGTATTATCGAATATTCAGCAGTAAGGAATAATATTTATAATTCATAAAGGACCACTTTCAGCAGCAAGCGTTGAGATGGCCGAGTTGGTCTAAGGCGCCAGATTAAGGTTCTGGTCCGAAAGGGCGTGGGTTCAAATCCCACTCTCAACACAAATAACATTCTCCATTTTTTGCACTTTGTACTGTTTGTGAACCACACTGAGTTTAGCTCCATCATTTTTTTTCCTTTTTTTTTTCCTTGCATTGATTTAGACTTTAGATCAATTCAAGGATTAAACAGACGTCACAAGTATGAACAAGCTTTTTTTTATGACAAAATTGAAGTTTTTATAACAATAAGCAAAATAGGACAAAAATTGTTATTTAGAGATTAAAAAAGAATATACAGTAAGTGATAGTATGCTTATCCTAATAAAGTTTGTACACCTAACTCCGCCACAAAATGTTGAGTTTGAATCCCCCACACATTAATTTTTTTTTTTAAGTATATATTAATAGTAGTTTAAGTGATAAAGTTATGTTTAATCGTAAAAATACATGAAACATTTTAAATTTAAGATAACAAAGTAAAATAAATAAATAAGGGAGTTGAAACTTAACCCTACAATATAGTTTTGGGGGTATTTAAGTCCATACAATTGATTTTTTTTTTTTTTAACTCTATAGCAGAAATGGTAAGAGTTTAAGATCTCTGGCATAATTTAACCCACACTAAAAGCTTGTGTCAACCTCCCTAATTATCTTGAGTTCCACATTGACAAGAAGTGAAGTGAACTTGCGACATTAAGGAGACATTTGGTTCATGGATTAAAATCATAAGATTAGAACTATTTTTTATTTATGTGTATTTTTTATGAGAGAAAATACTATAATGAACTATGAACCATAATTCGAATCGATGTACGAATCCCCCAACCAAACAACCCTTAAGTCAAATCCAAAATTAAAATTTGTGCGACTTCTGTGAAGAATCCGTAGAACTCATCTCAACCAAGCCCACTTAGAGGTTACGGTGTTACCTCCTCCTTTAAAAAGCCCTCGTGGTTGAATTGTGTGTGTCATTTTAAAAATAAAAATAAAAAATAAAAATAAAAAAGCTTGATGTAGATAGCAGATAATTCAAAGTGATCTTGCCCATCAAATTCCTATCAACGAGCAAGCTAAATCTTATTCACCTTTGGCTCTTTGCCTCTGCATATTCAACCTTCAATAGAATCGTGTATCGTTTTTTTTTTTTTTTTATCTAGATCATTAATCACAGAAAATAGCCTTCATGCTCTAAAAAAAAAACACCTCCCTACCTCGGTACAGTTTAGTAGTTCCAAGAGAGCAAACGAAAGACGTTACAAGTGAACAAAAATAGCAAATAAATAAATACATAATAGATATAAACCATCTTCTGCAGGGTATTTCTATACGTTACTTTCATTATATCCATAAGTGACGTACTGAGGCACTAGCTTCTGTTACTGTTAACCAGGTAGATGGGAAGTAAAATATAATCATCTTTACTCACTTTCTTCATCAGTTTCTGTTTCTTGGAAGTTCAGATGGTTCATGTTCCTTTCGAGTGGGGGAAGCCCGTCATCGGAATCGCTAGACTCCCCATCTTCACTCCGAAGTGACTTCTCTTCCCCTGCAGCAACAGAAAGCAAACACATGCTCAAGTTGATTAGTTATATTAGTTTCACGGAGAATGTACAAGGTCTCAAGAAGTAACCGATAATATGTTCTCATGAACAGTTTTCGTCAGGATGATAAAAAGGACATAAGAGGAACAACTAGCAGTCTAGCAGGCTCATACTGAAAAGGTTTAATCTCATTTTTAGCCGAACTATAAGCCAAATCTTATTTTAATCCCTAACTTGTGAAACGTCTCAAAATGAGTCCTTGATCTATCAAATCATCAAACATTAGTCATTCTATCCATTCGACTTAAGATCTTAACGCATAAATGCAGGTGAGGACCAGGGCAAATTATTGAGAGTTAATTTTGCAATTTCATATGTTAGACACGTCGTTTAAGAAGGAAGCCATGTCTTTTTCCATTGGATACAGTAATCCTAGTTGCATTAAGTGGTTGAGCATTAGTGGATGTGACCGAAAGGTTTTCCTATAAGTAACATGATCCATTAAATTGGAGTAGGTGAATATTACCACAGAAAAAAAAACCTTCAAAATCAGCAATTGTTGCTCTAAAACACAAACTTTTTAGACTAAGTAATCATGGGAGATGAAGCCACTCGAGGCTAGCTCAAATGGCTGGGTGCGTAATATATGTGAGCAGTGGCGGAGCCAGGAACTTCTTTCAGTGGGGCAGCAGTGAAACTAAAATTTTGAAACTAAAGTAATAGTAAAATTACTATTCTACTTTACTATTTTGTTGTATTTTTTTAATCTAAAGAAACCAATCTTCTAATTAGGTTTAATTCACTTTTCAAGGCCTACAATTTACAAATTGTGAACTTATATTATAGTGTCATTGATTATTGTTTTATTTAGCAATTTAGGTTTCATATATGAGATACTCAAAAGTAACACTTTGAGGTATAATTGAAATGTTTTTAAACATTTCACCTAAATGTCATAAATTATATAAGAGAAAAAAGATGTAATCAAAAATTAGTTGGGGTAATATTAAAGGGGCCACCTTGGACCAGTGGGGGGCGGCTGCCCCACTTGGCCTAAGGTGGCTCCACCACTGTATGTGAGTGCGATCTAAGGGTCGTTTTGTTTCTTCTTAATATAGTGAGAGTCATAAACCCTACACTGTTTTAAAAAAAAGTAGGAGATGAAACAAACGCCGCCTATAATGTAATAGAGAGTTTCTCAACAACAGCCAATACCTTCTACTTCCGTGCGTCCCTTCGGGACCTGGGTTTGTTGGGAAAGCCAAGAATTTTGAACTGAGATAATATCAGCACTGCTCTGACATTCAGAATATGCCTTTAGAAGCTCCCTGCGCATCAACAAAATGTACGAAGTATGAAAACCATTTAAAGTGAGTTACATTGGAAAAATCTCCAATGTCCAATGGGATAGATGCCCAAATGTCTAGAACCACGCACAAGGCCCCAAACCTTCCACTTGCTAACAAGTGAACGTACCGGTTAAGAGAGAGGAAAGCATGACCCCACTTGAATTTTCCAAGCAGCGAATTTGCAGTTTCCTCTTCCCCACTGTAAAGCCATATAATAGAAATGTATGAACCACACATCTCGTATTTGCCTCTAATAGTTAGCACATCCAACCTTAGACCAAGTAAAAAATTACAGTAGAGCTGTTTTGGGATGAGTATCTTAAAGGATTAACCTATCCAAGTTGGTTTTCTATACCTAGAGTCAACTATAACAGAAGGACTGAATCAATTTAGCAACTTGGAGTTGGAAGGAAACCAAATGAATGCCCAAGAAAATGACTAGTAACAGGAAAACAGTACAGCCAAACATTTCAAATCTTTGTTCAAACCTTAAATAATTGGCTACTGCTTCATGAATAGATTATGAAAGATGGATCCTAAAGAAGACTAGATACAATGCTTCAGGTCCTATATTCATAGATAAGTTAAAACTATCACCAGAGCATGCACTTGCACCATGTAGTATATCTTGAGTTCAAACTCCAGCATTATTAGGAGCCTAAAAACAGCTAATCAGCCAGCAAGATAAGAGGCGGAATTTTGGTACCATATAATTAAAGCAGCTGATAATGCCTCCACACAAGACAACTGGCATGGTCGACCGTAATTTACTGGATTTGCTGCTACTAGCCATGGCACTGCAATTGAGAAATATTTAAACAACTTGAAGAGAGAAATTCATTGGAATAAACATAGTATTCCAATATTAACATGAAGAACAATAGAACAGGTGCAAAATAAGACGAGATTAATACATTCACAAATGCGGCAGTGCAATGTATGAGAAAATCATTCCCGGTAACAATATACAGTTAAAAATAATACGCAGCAGCAGATTAGTTAAACGTTCTATTCTAAAAAAGATGATAAAGTTCAAGCTGTTATTATCATGGTATTAACAATATTACAGATGCCCAAATAATTTTCTTATACGATATCATTTATAATAACATTTACAGCAAACCTGCTTTTGGACTACACAACTTTATGCACAGCATAAAACAGTAACCCATTAGGGGGTTGAAATAAAATAGAAAACATGGAGAGAGAAACAAAAAGAAATAACTTTAATGGATAGATGAAATGAAACCCTGGATTGGGCATAATAGCATCATTTGTGATGTGCACGTAGGAAATGTACAACTCGAGCAGAAAAAGAATGTGGAAATACATTATGTGAAAAATTAGTAACCTAAAAATTTTGTCAAGAGCAACTCCAACCATACTAGCCATTACATGTTTTTAGCCAAAATGGCTAATTATTTAGCTTTTCTTGAGCTTTTCTCCACTCCAACCATTAGCTAAATGGTTAGCTATTTTAGAATAATGCCTTCTACACTAGCTAAATATAGCTAGCATAGAGAGGCTGGCCATTTATTTTTTTTGTATTATTTTGTTCTTTCAACTGTAATAAATGCAAATATTCTTTTGTAAACTCAATAAATTATTTATATTTTAAACTCATAAATATTAAAATAATTTATATTTAGCTAAACTATGGAGTATGGTTGGAGTGACTCACCAAAAAATTGCTAGCTAAAATAGCTTTCTAGCCATTTTAACTAAAATTTAGCTAAAAGTTAGGAGTTCCCTTGGAGATGCTCTCAAAGAAAAAGGATGTTCTACTGGAGTCTCTGGAAAGAGTTCAGAAATTTTGTCTTATTTCTTTGTTTTTAAATTATATTTATACTAGAGACATTTTGATTTTAAGTTGAAAGACAAATAATAACACAAAACAATGACAAAAGTACAAAAGAATCAGAGCTCATACAGAGGCGAGGAGTACTGCAACGCAGCTTCACAAACGGTACATCATCCAAGCGTGCCCATGAGCAATCCACAACAGCTAATCCCTTTCGTGTGATTAAGCTATAATCTTCTCTAGATACACATTGAGTTCCAACTGGACTGCGAAAATCATAAGGACAATATTGTAAGTTTGACAACAAATGACGCTGGTCAAGAAGAACAAGTTTATATAAAAATGTTCTAAGGCAAAGCATGACAATTTGATTGAGATACCTTAAAACAATGCCACCAAAACCACTGTTCACACGTAACTCCTGTATAGAATTGTTCAAATCTCAAGAATATTAGACTATAAATATGGAAACCTCCTACCAATATCCCCACATTAATGAAACTTTCTGAATATTCAAAATGACCGTGAGGTGGTGACTAATTTTAAATTTGAAAGAGAGCCCAATTGGTTTAAATCAAGTCAATCAGCAAACAAGAAGTTAAGACATTAACAGTCTCCAACATTTGATTGAGGAAGAATCTGATGCATGCAATAATATTAACATGGTATAGACAAAATATAGCATGCAATACAAATATTCTGACGGGATAAAATCATTTTAGTACCCTCTATTATAGTGAAACATATCGCTGGTCCCATGTGTTTTCAATAATATTAACACGGTACCTTCACCTTTAAAAAAACATTTTTTTGGAACCTTGAGACCGATTTTTGAGACATACAATGTCAAAATGCCCTTTTCATTAATTAAATAAAAACTAATAACTTTGAAAATGTTTTCTACAAACATTTTTACTTATTTTGATTTCTTAATTTTTAAATGTTTTAAAGTATTTTCATAACTTTTTCAAAAAATATTAGTATGTTGCTAATTTGTGAGAAGGGTAAAATGGTTTATGTCCCAAAAATCGGTCTCAAGGTACCAAAAGAATGTTTTTTTCAAAGGTAAAAGTACCGTTTTAATATTATTAAAAATACAAAGTACCGGCAAGATATTTTGCTATAACAAAGACAAAGAGTACCAAAATGACTTTATCCTTATTCTTAAATAACTTTACTTTAAGAAATTATATCTGTGCAGCATAAAACATGTATATATTTGCACAATAAAACACCATTAGAGGGGAAAAATGAACCAGATACTTTCTTTTATCAAGCCAAATCTTGAAAGCTTGCGTCCTGTGCACCTTTTTGCATCACATTGCCCGAAGTCCTGCATCAACCAAGGAGCAACTTAATTGAAAAAAAAAAAAAAAAAACCTTATTCTTTTCACACAACAAAACAAACACAGAGAGTTCTTATTGCTGCATTTTACAAAACCTTCATAATTACTCTATGTTTTCAATATATTATAACCAAAATATATTAAAACCAAAAAAAAAAAAAAAAAAAAACCATTGTGATGGAGAGGAGGAGCAAAAGCTTGTCTTATGGTACCAACAAAAAGGAATTAAGTACCTAATCTCCCATGTGCTTCATCAAAATGTCACATTTTACCTTGTTGTTTCAGGAATGCCACGATCAATCCTTGTGTTTAAAAGACAAGGCAAAACATGGCATTTGGATAATCAGAGGGGAAGTTAGGGTACTTATGCTAGAAAAATAACAAATAAAACAGTTCCAAATATTTCCAATAACATGATTCATTTACTTGACTATTAGCCCTGAGTAATAACTTAACAATATGATATGATAGCTGGCCAAATATTTTCTGTAATGTCAAAAGACCCAGACAGCAAATCCAAGAGGCAGCTGAATAACCTATTTGAAACCATCTGTGATCAAGCACCATTAATCCCTTAACTCCATCTAGTCTAGCCATACAATGCGATATAAGAAGATACAGCAAAAGAAACTAAATAATTAGAGAATGATGCATACCCACATTGCGAGTTGGATTTTCAGACCATACATATCCTAGAAAAATAACAAAATAAAACAGTTCCAAATATTTCCAATGACATGATTCATTTACTTGACTATTAGCCCTGAGTAATAACTTAACAATATGATATGATAGCTCGCCAAATATTTTCTGTAATGTCAAAAGACCCAGACAGCAAATCCAAGAGGCAGCTGAATAACCTATTTGAAACCATCTGTGATCAAGAACCATTAATCCCTTAATTCCATCTAGTCTAGCCATACAATGCGATATAAGAAGATACAGCAAAAGAAACTAAATAAGCAGAGAATGATGCATACCCACATTGCGAGTTGGATTTTCGGACCTCCTGGCTCCTCCACTTCATGAGCTGCAACAACAATAAATTCATCAGCAACCAAATTTATGGTAATTTCACTTCTTTGGACAATCTGGATGGAAAGAATTCACGAATTTTTTAAGATAAAGATACGGATATGTCATATATATTCCAGAAAGCAAAGTTCTCAGCTTCTTTGTGGGCGTCGACGGATAAAGTTTTCACAGAATTTTCCATTTTCTTTGATTATTCTTAATTGGAAGAATATGATGGCAAACTTATTTTCGTGAGTTCAAGCTCTTGAGTTGAAAGTGAATTTACGTGAGAGAAATACTATGGCAAAAAAGGTGAATTTAAATTTTTGCGAGAGAAAATACTCTAACAAAAAGTTTGAGTTCTGATCCGAATTGTGAAAAGAATGGTGCCTTTGATGCTCTACTTTTCCTTTTTATTTCTTTATACTTGATTTTTATCAACGCTTATAAAAATAAATACACTTATAAAAATAAATAAATAAAAAATTCAAAACCAACACCACACGGGCAACAGATCAAACACCTAATAGGCACCCCCAAACAACTAACAAAGAAAAACAAGTAACGGAGAATCTTTCACCTTGATCAGACGGTGGGGGCTCGTCCTCACTGAAATCAGATAAATACACAAGTGATAAAGCGTGAATCATAATTCAAAAAAAAAAAAATGAGTGGGGTTTGAACTGATGATGAGGCTTTTGCTTACGGAGGAAATTGATGACGGTTTCGGCTGCCTTCCCCACGATGAGAGTTATGGCTTCTGAATCGTCTTGGCTTGTTGTGACCCATTTGTTTTTGCGGCGGAAACCAGCCGTTAGTGGCGCTGGCGGTGCGGTGGCGGCGGAGTTGGCAGCCGGCGAATCAACTGCGTAAGTCGTAACTGGCTTATTTATTCCGGAAAAGAAGAAAAATAGAAGAGAACTGCTAAAAATGTTTCGATTTCTGTAGTTGTATCCCTAAACACCTCCGAAAGAAATTAAAGTAAAGTAGAAACGACATGTGATTTTCCATTTTGAAAATGGGACTCTCGTGTGGTGATTTGAATTGTGTCTCAAATCTATATTTATGTACGTAAATAAATTATAATTTAGGGATTGTTCGGTTATATTTTTGAGTTATAGTGATTTGAATGGATATTTTGAGTTATAATTTGAGTTAAAGTTGTAATTTGAATTTGTGTTTAGACATGTACATTTGAGTTATGATTTGAATTGAGAATCTATTTGAGTTTGTGTTTGAGTAGGTCAAAACTTGAATTTGTATTTATATAGTATTTTAATAAAAACAAAATAGTGATGAAAAATTTTAATAGCGTATATAGGTAGGGTTTTATTCGTCTTTTCGTTGTGAACGCAGAAAAAAATCATCTCAATCGGAATTAAAACGAAAAAGTTATGACATTTTTAATAATAAAAAAAATATTGTTCATTAACTTAAATTTGAGTTTAAAACTTGAGTTGAAGGGAAAACTTGAACTCAGATTTTTACCCCCACACTTAAGTTAAAACTCAAGTTCAAACTCAAATTTTACAAACGAAGCCCGTTCACTTCGCTGATTCGAGTTTGTAATTCGAGTTAAGATGTGATTTTGTGTGAGAGCTTTCTACTGTAGCAAAAAAATTAGATGTGACTATTTCTGAGAGCTTTTTACTGTAACAAAACTCAAATTCTAAATTCGAATCGGCGAAATGAACGGGAACTTGAATAAAGTTTAAACTTTCTTTTTTGAGTTTTACTCTAAAAGAACAAATTCTTTTTAGATTGAGAATAAAATTTGAATTGGGTTTGAATAAAGTGTTGAAGACTATTTTGTAACAAATCTTATAAACTAAATTGTAAATTACATTAAAATAATATGTAATGTGGATGGAGATTTGTTACTCTTTTTGTTATGAACACGTTAAAAAAAATCACCTTAATCAAAATTAAAATGAGAAAATTATGATATTTTTTAAACTTAAAATTAAGGAGAGAAAAAATATAAAATCTGAATAATTTACCGTAAAAAACAACTAAAATTGTGAATTTAGGGGTGTAAGGTCAATTCTAAAACACAATGATTTAAACCATTGTTAATAGTTTAAATTATCCTCTTTCAGTTTTCTAAAAGACATCAATTTAAACCTTCAACTACAATTCGAATTGAATTTTTTTATTCGAATTATTAAAACAAACAGCACATAAACTAAGCGGATCTCTTTTATTAGAGCCTAAAAAAATAAAATATAAAAGGGGAACTGATATCTTTTAAAAAGAAGGGCTTTGTTTGTAAAACGAAACTGAAATGGTCACTTTTAAAACCGCCAAAACCGTCATTTTGTCTGTTTAATTTCCACTTAAACAACTGATTTTTTTTAATTGGTTTAGTTTGCGATTTTGAAACCACGTTCAAACCATTAAATCGTAAATTCATTTTTTATTATTAAGTAACGTTTTGACATCTTTATCTTATTTTTGTTAAGGTTGAATTCTAGAAAGTATATAATTGTCTCTTAAGTTGTCAAAGGACCCAAATCAACACATTTTACATGTTTAAAGTTATTAGATTGGCTCGTTTATTTACACTTAAACTCAAAAAAAGTTTGAACTCAATTTAGAATTTTATTCAAGTTTTTTTTGTTTTGTTGTAAAATTTGAGTTTGAATTTGAATTTTAACTTGAGTTTTAACTTAAGTTTAGAGTTAAAATCTGAGTTCAAGTCAAGTTGATAAACTCAAACTCAAGTTAATGAACAGTATTTTTTCTATTCTTAAAAACGCCATAACTTTTTTATTTTAATTCCCATTAAAATAATTTTTTTCTACACAAGAAATAGACAAATAAAACATCACTCATATACCATATTCAAATTTTTTATCACCATTGAGTTTTTATTAAAATATTATCTAAATACAAATTCAAGTTTTGATCCACTTAAACACAAATTCAAATAGATTCTCAATTCAAACCATAACTCAAAATATGCACATCTAAATACAACTCAAATTAGAGTCTCAACTCAAAAACATGCTCAAATACACCTTAACTCAAATTAAGATATGAACTCAAATCATGTAAATGAACAAGCAGTAGATATACTATTTTGACCTTGTTGGAGTTCAATACTTGAAAACAAACATCTCGGACGTGTTTTTGGGATTTTATTTATAGAAAAATTTAGAATTTTGATAGGTGCTTGAGGAAACACTTCAAACCTAAAGTGCTCGGTATCAAGCTGCACACAACAATTAGACTTATTAGTGGTTTGTTTTGAAATTTCCAAAACAATAGAACAAAAATTTGAATTGAAGAATACATCAAATCCCATCGTTAAAAAGAAAAAAACTTGATTTGGGTGTGTAGAAAAACTTCAAAAATCCATCCAACTAGCCGATGCTCACTAGTGTTAGATACACAAAATACTTATATACATGCTTCCAACTAATTTCATTATAAAGTAAAACCTACGAAAAAAATAAATAAACCTACATAAGCATATAAAACTGTGAAACATGCCCCCTCTCCAATGAAAGTTTATCGAGCATGGGTTCTTGATGTGATAAGTTACATGTTGTATTCGTATTGTATTTTAATTATTTATATTTTAAATTTTATCTAACCTAAATATGAACCATGACATGTAAATTTTAAAAACAATAAAATTGACATAATACAATACGAAAATGATACATGAACTTAAGATCGACATAAAAATTGTCCTTTTATTCATTTTCAAAAAAATTGTCCTTTTATTGAGTTTTGTTTACACACTAATTCATAACTTACTAAAATGTGATAGCACCCATAAAAAATAAGCAAATAGGAGCATAATATTATAAGAATTAAGAACTATATTATATATAAGATCATAAGTCCATAACAAAGTCTAAACTATACGATGTAAAATATTTTTTTTAGGATAAAGAGAGATATAGCATAATTGGTAGAGTGATTAGTAAAGTATAATATATTTTTAAAAACTAGTAAATTATAGCATAATTTAAAATTTTAAGGTTTAATCATTATTAAAAACCTAAACGTACCCCTAAATCTCCATTTCCACCCCACTCTTCCCCCTAAATATTTATTTTAAAAAATAATAATAATAAATTATAGCATATTTTTTAAAATAGATAGATTATAGTCAAGTCTACTATGACAGGAACCGGCGACTAGTGACCATTTTTCGATGATATTTTTTCGACGACCGTTTAACATTGCATTTACAATTAAATACCGTATTTATCAATAAATATTGTATTTATTAGTAAATATTATATTTAACAAAAAATTCAGTCATTGACTTCGGCGACCGTTTTATACTGTATTTATCAATAAATATCGTATTTACTATTAAATATTATATTTATATAAAAATTTGACAATCGATTCCGGCGACCATTTAACACTGTATTTACTAGTAAATATTGTATTTACAAGTAAATATCATATTTATCTAAAAATTAAGACACCAAATCTAACCCTTTAACACTATATTTATCGGTAAATACGGTTATTATTGCCGAGGAAAATCTACATTGATCGAAATCATATAAAATACATCAATGAACAAACTTTAGTTATTTCATCTTTTTGTTTCTAAAAGACCAGAAACAGCTCTTCCACGAATACATGCTCAGTTTTCTCAACTCAAAAATCAAGGAAATATTCATAAATCAACACACACATATTCTTTTTTCAGATTGATACATATAAAGAAAAGGAGGAAATAAAAGAACCAAACAACATATATGGTCGCTAACCATAATATTTGAAATCCACACTGACGGATCTGTCCAGAAGTCGATCGGAACTCTAGGAGGCGGATCTTAAATCAATAGTCGCCGCACCTATCACAATTGATTGGGGACAGCGAACGAGGAACGGGAACGAGTTTTGCGAAGCCGTCGCATAGAGAGAAAGGGGGGAAAGAGGGAAATCGGAATCACAACGAGCAAAGCACGATCTTCTTTCTACGGTTGAATCGCGGTGGAGAAGAAAAAAGAGGCAACACAATAGTTGAATCGGCGCCGGAAAGAAGGACCTTCGTCGCGACATTGAACCCGGTGCACGAATGACGACAGCAGCGGTAGAGAGTGCATAATGACGGCAGTACTTGACGAAGATTGGTGGCGGCGTTGTGCAACGTTCACCGGAGGAGAGAGAAAAGCGAGAACAAGAGAGATCGCCATGAGAGAGAGGGAGAGTGCTCGGAGGAGAGAGGGGTGGGTTGGGGACAGAGAGAGATAGAGAGAAACGGCCGGGTTGGGTTCAAAGAAGAGAAAAAAAATGTAACCTAAATGAAAGGGTAGTTTTGGAAGAGATTAATATATTTTAAAATGAAAACTAATAATATGCTATAATTGATTATCATTTAAAAAATATAGTATTTACTTTAAACATAACTATAAAATATATTATATGGTGCATTTTCCCTATTTTTCAAATGATTTTCACGTCATGTTCATATTAGATGAACCAATCTGAAATTGATCCTTTTTCATATTAAATTCAGGTTAATATGAATCTAACACTTTTTTTTATTACTTTAAAAATAAAAAAACCTAAAGGGTCAATAAAGGAAATAACAAATTTGGAGAGTTAATACAAACTAATAGCATATATTAAAAAATGTTTAGTAAATAACAAAAAATATTAGATTAAAAATTTTAACACAATGCATTACCCAAAATGTCCTTTTAAATACCTAAAAATCAAAAAATTATTTGTCACGCGCTCTCACTTCTCTCTATGTCGATTGCTTTTAATCTCTCTCTCTCTCTCTCTCTCTCCCCCCGCGATCTAACCTCCCATTGTTCCTCAGTAGCTTAGTGGTAGAGCGGTCGGCTGTTAAATAACTGATTGTAGGTTCGGATCCTACTAAGGCAGATTTGATTCGTTCTGAATTCTTTAGTTCGAATTGAAAGGGTTCACATTGACTATTAAAAGTAGGTAACCCATTACCTGTGTCTTTGTTTCCATTGCATTTTATCTCATTATATCATATTATGTTTTGCAATATTTGAAAATCGATGCCATTGCATTTTATCTCATCATATCGTATTATGTTTTGTGATATTTGAGAATCGCTGCAATACGTCGGTGTAGGTTTGGGATAATCTACAGTTTAGGGTTATTTACGACAATCCAAATAAGACTTCTCAGATGTACTAGTACTAGTAAGTGCATCAATGATACATCATCGATTCGCTTGAGAGGACACAATTACTGCGAGCAAACATATTAATAATGAGGAACACATTTTTGCTATGCTATTAATACTTGTACGGTATTCTGCCCCACCTGACTGAAGAAGAATTATGAGGCGTAAAACCAAAAAAAAAATGTTCTAAACAAAAAATCTCTCTTAGTTGCCCTTCTTCTCTCTCTATTGTCCTCTCTTTCTTCCCCGTGTAATCTGCGCAATCTCCTAGATGCTAACGCTGATGTCATGGCGAGCTTTGATATTCTGGCGTTGCGTTGATTCCACCATCAGCGGCTTCATGATTCTGGCACTGTTCATGGTCCCGAGGAGAAAGGAAGAAGAAGAAGAGGGAGGATTGATGGTGTTTTAGATTTTTTACAAAATTTGATATTTCTTTCATTTAATTTTTTCAACTAACATTTGCTTCTTTAATGTTTTTTAAATTGTTATTTCTTTTTTTTTTTAGGAAATTTGTAATAAATAACATATTTATAAAATTAAATTAAACGAATAACAAATTTTAAACTATTTAAAATAAATATCAATTTATTATGTAAATATTTCATTTACAGTTAGTAAAAAATAATTTATATGGTAAAAAAATTTTATTAATCCAAAAAAAAACTTTTTATCAATCGGAAAATTTACATTGAAAAAATATTTTTAATAGTCGTAAATAAACTACTATTTATTTCATGTTGTTTTAAATGTTATTATTTAATTTTGTTTCATGAATCTGCTGTAAAATTGGTATCGCATGGCCCAAAAGAGCACAGCCCAGCCCAGCTGATTAATCAACAGCGGAAAAAAATAAGATGGAGGGTATTTCTGGAATGTACGCAAACCAAAAAAAATCTTTAAAATGTATTTCAACGAAAGCCCGCTTGGTCCCCGCTGATTTATGTTCGATATCACAGATAGCCAAAGCGAAAGATAATAAGAAACCCTAGATTACCCAATTTTCTTGCTTCCAAAGCGGAAAAAAGAACCGGAAATTTACTTTCTTTTGTTCGATTTTTAATCTCTCTACATTCTCTCTCTCTAATTTGTTCTTTAATTTCTCTGTTTCAGAGATTTTTTTTTTCTGGTTTCATTTGTTTTCAGGAAGCAGACTAAATATTTTTGGGGGTCTTCGTTCTTCGGGAGAGCTCTGAAATTGGAGAAATTGTCGTGTTTCGTTGTGGGTTTTTCTGTAGATGATAATGATGCTTTCTGTGCTTTCTTCGCTAATGGGAGGTTTTCTGTTGTGAAATTAGGGTTTCACTTTTTTCTCCCAATCGCTCTGTTTAAGGAATTGTGGGCCTTTTCTCTATATTGGCGCGATCCGAATCGAACATTCCTGTGAGTAATTACTGAATTTTTTATTTATGAGTTTAATTTCAAAGCTTATGGCAGACAATATTTATTGGGTTTGGGTTCTTCTTCTCAAGGTTCACTTGCATTGTGTCTTGTTTGGTTATTTAAAGAAAATTTGAGGGCTTTGTGGCGGAAATTTGGTAGCTTTGAGGGAAATTACCTTTGATTATTATTATTTTTTCATTCTTTTTCCCTTCTGAGTTTTCCTTGAATAGTATTTTTTATTTTTATTTTTTTCTTTGTTGTCCTTTCAATTACCTAGCATGAAAGAAGCGGTCTTGTTGAATTCCATCTTCTTTTTATTTAACTAATATAATACGACCTTGAATTCACTGTAACAATGTTTTTCGAATTTCATTATCTTTCGTTAGTAAATCAATCCATATAATGCATATGATATTTATTTATTTTTCAATATCCTTTTGCTCTAATGAACTAATGGATCTTCGTGTATCTTGTATGTATGTATGCATTGCTTATTGTAAAAACTTGAAATTTAAATACAGTAAATTCTTTTTATTATTTCTTTTGTTTTTTTTTTTAATTTCATTTTTTAATTCAGCTGATTTTTGAATATTTGGGTATATTTAATCAGGGTTTGACTTTAGGTTTCAATTGGAGAAAAATGTCATCACCATATCAGATTCTAGACAATCGACCACTTGATCATTGGAGGGTTACAGAGTTGAAAGAGGAACTTAGGAAGAGGAAATTGATAACCAGGGGTTTGAAGGAGGATTTGGTAAAACGTCTGGATGAAGCAGTTCGTATTGAGAGGGAAAATGCTCAGAATGATGCTGATAATGATCTTGAATTCAGTCCTCAACCTGAGGTTGTAGTGACAAATTTGGACACGCATGAGGTTCTTAATGAAAGCGTTAGAGGAATTGCAGATGAAGGTAGTATTGGTAAGAAGACTGGAAAGGTGGATAATCTTCCGGTTCAAGTTGACACTAATAATAGTGCCGCAGTCTTTGATCTAGGAAATATTCAGGAAGGGTATGTTCTTGTTGGCAAAGATTCGGTAGTGGTGGAGGAAATGAAAGTGGTGGAGGAGATGTCTGTTGTTCATGCAACTACTGTGGATGCTAGTGTTACGGTCGCTGAGAGTGTGGTGAATGAGGTAAAAGAAAGAGAGCAAGATTTGCCAGATACTCAGATTAAGGAGGAGAATGAAAATTCCAAGGCCCAGCTGGAGATTGTGGATTCAAAGGCCCAGCTGGATGGTGAGCGTTTGAAGCCCCACGTAGAGAGTGACGACTCAAAGCCCCAGGTAGACGCTGAAGACTCAAAGACCCAGCTGGAAATTGACAATTCCAAGCCCCAGCTGGAGAATGAGTATTCAAAGCCTACATCCGAGGAATTCAGGCCCGACGTTTCTGCTTCCAAAAACCAGGTATCTGAGGTCAGCCCTAACTTAGGGTCTCCAGTAAAATATGATTCTATTTCTACTGATTCTGTGTCAATTAATGAAAAGAATGAACTAAAGGATAATATAATTGCTGATAATGTCAAATTAGAATTAGATGTTATTAAGCCGGAGATGGTGGCACCATCATCCGCTACTATTGTTCCAGTTGGTGGTGACTCACATCCTATGGATGTTGAAGAGCCACACGAGAGCAACACATCCGTCGAAGAGAAGGATGACACTACTGGTACTAATGCAGATTTGAGCAAGAAAAATGATATTGTAGATGTGGGGTACTCAGAAAAGTTAAATTTAGACAGAAGTTCTGGAGATGATTCTATGGAAGAAGATGTGCTGGAGAGTAAGCAAGTTGATTCTAAGTATAGGTCTGATAATGTGGGAGATAAGAGTGAGAAAACAAGAGTGTTTGATGTAAAGGAGGAGGATCAGGTTGATATCACGGGGGATGATTTTTCTGCAGACAAAAAGGACATTCATGTTGAGACTAAAGATCGTCCATCTGCTGTGGTGGAGAAAAGAAAGCTTAGTGGTGAGTTTTTCAGCTATAGTTTTCTAATTGTTTTATTTTTAGGCATTTTTAGACTTGTTAATTTAAGATTCCCTCTGTCATTATGCATACATATGTTGCTACACGCATACATGCATAGATGCATTTATACATGTGTTTGTGTGCATTTCTTCTTCAAGATGGTATCTGTCCCGGGAATGTGAAATGTGCTCTTGTTGGTTATGAATTCATGCGCTTAAGATAATATTAAGCACTTGTATTTCACTTTCTGCTAGATTTATTGTACAACTTAACATTTCTAAATCAAATACACCGGTCATCAACATGATGGCATTCATTTATTCTAACTGTACTTGATTTAGGAGCTTTAGACATGGTGGTGAATGTGGAAATTCAGTTACTATGCTCTGTTATCTAGTTTAGAAATGGAATGGGGTTTTTAGGTCATATGTGGACAAGTGTGCCGGTGACATTTATTTTTCCTGAAAAATAGGAGCTATTACGGTTTATAATTGTGGATGAAAAGGTTGATTCAATTCTGGCCATTGTGTTTTAGTACTTAAGGCCCATAAAGAGCCTTTCAGGGGAACTTGAAAATTACAGAATAGAAAGGGATTGAGACTTTACTGCTTTTATGCTGCCACTATTTTTTCAATGAGAATTGCACTTCAGAATTTACTGCCACTGTATAATACTAAATTTTGTTTGGTTTGCATGTTGTTTGATGATGGATGTTTGTGTATGCTAATCGTCTTTTATCTGACCTATTATGATGTTGGTGTACCTTATACCTGCCATTAGTGATTGCGTTGCAAGGAAAAATATTTTGTTGATGAGACGAAGGCATAGATGTCCCTTGCATTAAGAATTTTGACTTTCATTAATTTTCCACTTTTCATATCTTCGTCTTCAAGCTTTCTTTTATTGCCTCTATTTTGTTCCATTGTTCAGTTTAATATTTTTTTCCCCTAAATAAATGTATTTTTGCTTTTCAAGATCAATCATTGGTGGGAAACAATGAGCCTCTAAAGAGGCAACGGCGGTGGAACACTGAAAGCCTAAAAGTTCCAGAGCCACAAAGCTCCAACCTTACACCTACAGCTACTCCCAAGGATACTTTTCAGTCCCCGCTTTCTAAGCGCTTCACCAGAGTGGACTCCACTACTAGTGAGGATACACCTAAGGAGCGTGTTGGTGAGTTCCTTAATGACCTTGCTTTGGATTCCGATAATTATATCAAACATATGATTTCATTTTGTTTCTTTTTGTTTTTCTGCAGTTCCACCGTCTCCGAAACCTCCAACTAACTCTCTCAGAATTGATCGTTTTCTGCGCCCCTTTACCCTGAAAGCTGTGCAAGAACTTCTGGGTAAAACTGGGAATATTACCAGTTTCTGGATGGATCACATTAAGACCCACTGCTATGTCACTGTAAGGCTCTTTGCCCATATCTGCACTCGCATTTGCATGTGCACATCTTGATTCGTAATCTATTGAAGCAACAAATTAATATGAAATGTGATGATTATCACTGCCATGTCACTGTAAGGCTCTTTGCCCATATCTGCACTCGCATTTGCATGTGCGTGCACATCTTGATTAGTAAACTATTGAAGCAACTAATTAATATGAAATTTGATGATTATCACTGCCATGTCACTGTAAGCCTCTTTGCCCATATCTGCACTCGCATTTGCATGTGCGTGCACATCTTGATTAGTAAACTATTGAAGCAACAAATTAATATGAAATTTGATGATTATGATTATGCAGTATTCCTCAGTCGAAGAAGCCATAGAAACACGGAATGCTGTGTATAACCTACAGTGGCCTCCAAATGGTGGGCGCCTTCTTCTAGCTGAGTTTGTTGATCCTCAGGAAGTTAAAGACCGGTTGGAGACTCCACAGGCTCCGGCTGCACTTGCCAATGCAGCTCCTGTTGTTCCTCCGACCCCACCAGCCTCACAGTCCCAGCCGTCCCCCCGCCAACATAGGCAGCAGGTTGCAGCCCCACCATCACTTCCTCCACCGCCACCTCTGTCTAATCCTCCCCAAGCAAGAGAGCGGCTTCCTCTACCGCCTCCACCCCCGCTACCAGAGAAGCTTGATCCTCCGATTGTCACACTGGACGACCTTTTTCGCAAAACCAAAGCGACTCCTCGTATCTATTACCTTCCATTGTCGGAAGAACAAGCAGCCTCAAAACTTGCAGCAGGGAAAAACACTTAGAAGTAGGGACACTATTTTAGAGTTATCCTTTGCTGCTATGGAGATTGTCTTTCGGGTTTGTTGGTATGCTGAATAAGGGTAAAGAAGCATCTATTACTGTTTTTGCAGGTCTGCGGATGTTGGTGGTGGAAAGGAGAGTGTCCTTCCATGGTGGAGTTGCGGGGTTTTTTTTTTGGAGAACTGCTTTGGTGTTGGCGTATGTTAAATTTAGTATTTAGTATTTAGAACCCTTATAATTGAGAGCTGTCTTTATGGATGTATTAAACACACATCTAGCTACACCTGGTTTTCCTTTTTGTACCAGAGTTTTTAGTTTGTTGATCTTTTTAGAGATACTTTATTTTGGTTCTAAAATGTAGGATCTGCGTTTGAGGCCCACTTTCTGCAATTTGTTGCTTATTGAAAGAACCCTTGTTTTATAAAGAAATTAGGCGGTGGTAATAGCGACAATCAGGTTTACGGAATCTCGTAGCAAAGAGGAAGAACGGCAAAACAAACGCACGTTTTCATTAGTTCATGACCTCTTAAACAAACGATTGGGAAAACAGATTTGGGGACGAAGTTGGAAAACAAGTTCGGAAATGCGAGTAATTTGATTCCGGTGTAAGCAACCAATCTAATATGGTTTGGCTAGATTTAAATAGATAAATCAGAATTTTCTAATGTCACGCTATTATAATTCGATGTTCGCACTCAAAACTTTGAACTTTGTTTTGGGGTATTATTATTTTTGGATTGGTGATGTACAACAAATTATTATGAGTGGGGAATAATAATATCATGGGATGTGCGTTGAGGGATTTTTGGAGAGATTGTTGAAAATTTAGTAAGAGAAATCTTGATAAATATTCTTTTAAGTTCATGAGGTTTGATTTTTACTCTTATTCTTGATTAATAATCTTTTTTAGTCAAATAATCATATGAGATAATGAAATTTAAACCCGTATATTTTTAAGGATAAGTCGTTAATTTTTTTATGTGGGGTAATAAAGACTTGAAACATGTAATAAATACGCTTTCTTTAAAACGTTATTCGCTCTTTCTCATATGTGAGATTGCTTGCGGTTTCAGTGACCAATCGCCTTCAAGATATGACAATCCTTTCTGTGTGTTCTTACACTAAGCAAAAATGAAAAAACACCAAGACCAGAGAACGTGCTATTTGGAGAAGAAAGGAAACAAGATTTTTAGAGTGAATTCTTCTAGTAACTTTTTTCGTATTTATAATTAAATGACACCCTTTAATGGACCTTTTAGAGATGTGCTGCCGAATAAAAAATGTTACAACGTTTTTGTGATTTTAAAAACCGGAAGTACACTCAAAAAATAAATTAAACTAATTTAATTATCTTTTAAATCCAAATCTTAAAATTAAAATTGAAATATATATATATATATTATTATAAATAGTATTCTCTTTATACACCATGTAAGGCACAAGAGACTCTCTTGTTGCCATTCCAACAACCAATTCTCTTAAGTGCTACTCCACTTCATGAGTTATCAATGTGGGACTTCGATGTCAAGCTACAACCCTTCTTATATTTAAACTTGAACAATTCCAACAGAGATTGGGTACAAGTTGCCAAATGAATCTCATATTAGTGTAATTATATTAATGAGATAATATGCATTATCTATTGGGACTCCATAAAATTGGATCTAATGAAGTTTTTCTCAGAAAAAAAAGATAACAGATAGGAAAAATGAGTCAAATACCTCTTAAAGTGTATGAGTTTGGAGTTTTACTCTTCACTCTTGATTAATATCCTTTTTCGTCAAGCAACTATATTAGTTAAAAAGGTATTAATTAAGAGTAAGCGGTAAAAATTTAGACCCATACGCTCTAAGGGAAAGTTTAACAAAAGAGAAAATTGATGAAGTTAGCCTTAGAGTGCACGAGTCTGGATTTTTACACCTTACTTTTGATTAATACCCTTTTGACTAATATATTATTTGACTAAAAAAGATATTAATTAAGAATAAATGATAAATATCTAAACTCATGCACTGGGTATTTGTCTCCTTTAGGGTCAAGTGAAATGGGAATTTCAGCCAGGCTTGGTCTGTTATTTTCATCGGGCCAGGGGTCGACCCTAAAGGGAGAGGGACCTAACTCTTTCTACCAATTGATTTGAAATGCGAGTTGTCATTTTTTATATTAGTAGATATAATCTATTTCATTAATTGACGTGATAATATTTTAAATATCCACCAATGTAAGAATAACAACTTACACGCTACATCAGTTGGTACACTAAGAGTTGAAATTTAAGTTGGTGTCCCTATTACTATTCACAAATATAAATTGGGATAATACCTAAAAACGTCCTCCGTGTTTTGCTTAAATCCACTTTTAGCTCTTTTATTATACAAATGTCTAAAACACTACATGTATTTATAAAATAAAACTTAAAATGCCTTCTAAAGCAATTTAATTTTTTAGAGTTCGAAGATTAACTTTCCTAATCTTTATTAAATATAATTTAAAATATTATTAGACCAAAATATTAATAAAATCAATCTTACACAATGAAGAATTTCTAAAACATAATTGAAGTATTTAATTGATTGAAATATTTATTTGGACATTTTTAATTTTTTTAATTTATTTTTTTAGTTAAATCATATTTATAATAACAATTAATATAGATTGAGAAGAGTAACATTTATTTCAGAAAGATATTTAGACAAACACGCGGAGTGTTTTAGGTATTTTACCTATAAGATTTATCAATTATTTTAGTTAGTAAGTATTGTTTGTAAAAATGATGTATCTATTAATTGCGACGAGTAAATATGAGATTTGCTGGAAACAATTATTCTTTTCCTGCACGCCTAAAAAGTTGGGTCATCGATGCTTCATTTTTCTAAAATCTAATAATTTTCCTTGTTAATCAATAATATTGTATACTACCACAATTGTGGAGGAATTTTGCGAGCCTTCAATTCCACGTGTAATAGGAATTTTGCATGCTTTTTTTTTTTTTTTCCTCTCCATGTCGAAAAAGTCCGGTCATCTTTAAAATCTTATAATTTTCCTAAACTACCATAATAATGTACACTACCAAAATTACCATAATTTTCCTTGTTAATCAATAATGTACGCCAACTCGTGATTCTCCTAGTTCTGATCCGCAATTTCTAATTACGCATTCAATGACTATCAAGGTATAATTCTGCCTCGTTAATTTTGTTTTTTTTTTGAGTTAAGAATTTAAGTTAACAAGTAAATTTATGTTAAAAAAATACTCTTAGCAAATAATTGACTTTGAATTTTCACAAGAGAAAAATTGTATTAAAAACTTAAGAAGATGTTTGGTTTATATAAATTTAAAATTATTTTTGTTTTACGTGTATTTTTTTTATGAGAGAAAATATTATAAAGAATTATGAATATGATTTAGTAAATGAACGAATATTAGAAAACAAACGTAATTGTGATTTGAACTATGAGGATCTCATCCACTCTGGAACTTATCTAGAGCTGACGTTGACTTTGATCCAACGATTGGGTTGCGGGTAAATTGGGATCCACAAGGAGTTCTCTTCTCTCAAACTCAAACTGTAGCGTTGATCTGCGTCGTTTTAGACATCTCTCTGTGTCTCTCTGTCCCTCTCTCTATCCATCTCTCTCTCTCTCTATATATATATATATATATATGTATATGTGTGTGTGTTTATATATATTTCGCACACAGTTTTTCTCTGTCTCTCTGTGTCTTGACTTGTTTTCTTCCGTTCTCCATCTCCATTCCCTTCGAAACGTTCCCTTTCCGCTTTGCAATAGAACAATCGAAACTCGTTTCTAGGGTTTCTCAAAATTCACCCTCCAACTTTGCTCCGTCCTCATCCCAACACCACAAACTTATGAATTCATCTTATTCCAATCCTGAGTAGCCATTGCATTGTGGAGTCTACTGAAAACGTCGTCCTTCATTTCTGAATTGCATTGACCGGTAAAGTAATTGCTTTCTACGTCAAAGTTTTGATTTTCTTTTTTGTTCTGTAAAATTCCCAATCTTAGGCTACAATACACCGCATATAATTTTACCCAATTGGAGTTTCTTTCTTTGTTGACTGTCCCTTTTCTGGGTTTTTAGTTTTGTGGATTCCCATGTTTTTTATTTTATTTTATTTGATGAAATTAAGGTTTTTTTAGGGTATAAGTTATTTATTTATTTATTGAATAATTTGAAATTATAGTGGAGCTGGTTTTTGAAGTGGGCAGTGTGGAGGTGGGATGAATAGTGTATTCAGCGAGCCGTTACTTGCTGAGAAGCTTTCCAAGGTCAACAGCACCCAGCAGTCTATTGAAAGTATCCTTTGCTTATAATCATCTTTTCCCATTTTTATTTTTATTTTATGGTTTTATTGGTTTTCTCATTATTCATAAACCTCTTTCTTTTTTATCAAAGCAATGAACTTTTAAGGTTTTTATTTATATATTCGTTGCTTGGCGTTAGAAAACAATGAACTTTTTATTTATGAACCCTAATTTGATAAATTTGGAGTTTGCACTACCAAGTTTCTCTTTTTTTTTTTTTTTGGATTAGTTTTTCTTCCTTTTTGAATTGTTGACTGTAATGGATTAAACCCCTTGATTATTTACTAACAAGAACAATAATATATAAAAGAAGATTTACAAGGTGAACATCCTTAATCGAAGAGCTATGTCAACTTTCAACCGTCACTGAATTTCTTTAATGATGAAGATGAAAGTTATAAGAGAATCACACATTTCAAGCCCGTCATTCTTTTTGTATTTCTCTGTATTAAGCTAATTCTCAAAATCAGGGTCCCCACAATAGACGTGTAATTTCAGCTGTCATACATGTGTGAAAATCCCAATATCTATCCGCGGGCTAACTCTGTGTCTAGGATATAATTAGGGTCCGCACACTCAGAGTTAAATAAATCACTCTCCGCTATGATTTACACAAAACAATTGTTTTTCCCGGTGTGATTTGGAGTTGTATCTTAACTTTGTTATATAGCTATATCGCATTGGTGTATATTCCATCGGAGCAAAGCAGAACTGGTTGTTGCAACATGGGAGAAACAGTTCCACAGTTCACAGATGGTTCAGAAAGTTCCTCTTCTTTATCTTGCAAATGACATCCTGCAGAACAGTAAGAAAAATGGAAATGAATTTGTTACCGAATTTTGGAAGGTTCTTCCAAAAGCACTCAAGGATGTTATTCAGAAAGGTGATGAGCGTGGAAAGAAAGTCGTCTCCAGATTGGTAGGTTCATTCCTACTCTTTCCTGTTAAGGGTTGTTTTTAAACTGCTATTTTCACCCTGTGGCACGTACGACTATCAATCCAACTAAATGGCTATATGCTTTTCATTATAAATGTTTACTTGTTGAAATGCTATGTTGGTTATGCAATTAGGAAGACCTCCTTTATGTCGGCTACCTTTTAGTTCCTTAGTATGTAAATTTGAAAATTCAAACTTATTTAGCTGGTAATTTCACTTTTTTTAGGTTGACATATGGGAAGAAAGAAGAGTATTTGGATCGCGTGCGCGGAGCCTCAAGGAAGTAATTCTAGGGGATGAAGCGCCTCCACCGTTGGAGTTGGGTAGTAAGAAACGCACTCGTTCTGTTAAGATTGTAAAAAGGGATTCTCGTTCCATTAGAACGGTTAGCACAGCGGCCTTTTTCTCCCCCCTTGTTCTGCTCCATTTATTAATTTGGTTTTGCTGTAGAAATAGAAAGGATTATTCTGCTCACCTGGTTATAGGTTTTTTTCTACATGAAAAATTCATAAACATGTTTAGTATATGATCTCTGACATAGCATTACCGTGGAAACCAGAAACTTTCTATTGGAGGTGTGACTGAAAAGATAGTTTCGGCATTTCACTTGGTGCTCAGTGAACAACCCAATGAAGACGCAGAGACGAATAAATGCAAGTCTGCCACCAGCCGCATACAAAAGTTGGAGAAAGAAGTTGAGACTGCCTGTACTAGGGGTAAGCACTGATGTTATGAAGTTAATATCTGCCTAAGTAAGTTTTGCCCCGTACTTCTTTTGTTACATCTATTTAGAATAGGATGCTCCTACTTTTCTGCAATTAGTCAGTGTGTTGTGCTCTAAGGCTTAAGTTTTGTTGCTGTCAGCAAAGGATCCAAAACGAAAAACTCTTGCTAAGGAACTGGAGGAGGAAGAAAATACTTTGAAGCAGTGTGTAGAAAAGTTGAAATTGGCTGAAACGAGTAGATTAGCACTGGTATCACAATTAAAAGAAGCTCTGCATGAACAGGTATTGGATTATAGTATTTTATTTATATATTTATTTATTTTACTTTTCTTCCATATGCAATTATCGAAATGAATTTGAGGTTTTATGCATTTACTCCCTATTATTCTTCTTGTGCAGGAATCCGAACTGGAGAATGTTCAAAAGCAAATGCGGGTAAAATCTCCAAGCAACTGTAGTTTTCTGTTACTTTTAGTGTTTGTAGCTGCATGTTAAGAGTCATTTTGCACATGGGGATGATATTTTTTTCCCTGTCAGTTATCTAATCACCATTGCCGTGTATGCATATGTATAGGCGGCATATGCACAAGCAGAGGAAGCAAGAAACATGCGGAAGCGTCTAGAAGATGAAGGTTATGTATCAAAATCATCATCAAATGCGACCACTTCACCCGCTGATGCAAATGCAACACCAGGACAAGCACCAAAGAAATCAGCTGCAGTGATTGCAGCTGAGGTTGCAGACAGGCTTGCAGCTTCTAGCTCATCGCAACTAATTATGAGTTCCGTTCTCTCTACCTTCGCCGCTGAAGAAGCCAAGAACGCAGGTCTAACTAAGACTTCCGCTTCATTGAGTATGGATTCAGATTCTATACCTGAAAAGTCCGTGTCAGTTTCAGATCCAAATGTTTTTATGTCAACACAGTCGCTTACCGCACCCCCAAGCCATATATACCATTCAGTTTTGGTACCCCAACCAGCTATGCAAAACCAAGCTCCACATTCTCAGGCTCAATATCACATGCTTTCTAACCCTGTTTCCCAGACGTACATGCAGCCAGGTGGCGGGGTCATGCCCCCATATGGTTATAGTAGCATTCCTCCATTGCCACTGCCTCCGCCTCTGCCACATATGGTGAGTCCAATGGTGCCTCTAGCTCAGCAGCAGCCTTTGACATTGGCTCAACAGCTGCCACCAATAGCGCAACAACAAACGATGCCCTTGACACAGCAACCCCCGATAGCTCCTAGTTTTCGGCCTCTTCAGCCCCCGGGAATTGTGTATTATGGTCACCCTCGTACTTCTCAGTGAAACTAATTTTCAACTAAAGTAGATGGTAGACCATTTTTGACAATACAGTTTGTTGTTTCAAAAGCTTTTATTTTGTTTGATCATTTTTTGAGATATAGATTTCAGAGGTTGTGTGATTCGACCAATTCGGATACCATCCAACACATGCTGGCTTTTAGTGGCGCAGCTTCTGCTAGTGTAGTTCATTGGCACCTTACTCGAGAAGTGTTGTATTTTTTTTAATTAAAATTATTATTCTTTTTTCGCTGAAGAAGTTTCAATGACTATTAATTAGCATTATTATTATTATTATTATTATTATTATTATTATTATTATTATAGTTAGAATATTGATCGACATACTTACGAATAAGTTTAAGGAGAAAGAGGGAAATAGGTCAAGACTTGAGATAAATTAAAATTAATAAGTCAATAGTTTACATAAGTTAATAAATAAGTCAAATTATTGTTTTCGTTCATAATTTGTTGGTTATGAACTATAATTTGATAAGTTATTGTCTATAAATTAATATTTTTGTCTATAACTTGTCTGGTTATGAATCATAACTTGACAAATTTGTTTATAATTTATCTGATTATGAACCATAACTTAATAAATTATGACCTATTAATTTTTATAACTAAAAATTGATCTATATACTCTCTTAAGCTTTTTATATTAGCTTATTTTTTACTATTTTCGTAAGTTTTTAATGTGTATGGAACGACAAGGATTGAGAAAAGGTAAACCACAGGTAGAAAAATGGAAATGGTCGGGATTGGTATTAATAGGGAGATGGCTCTTCTTTAGGATTGAGAAAAGATAAACCACAGGTAGATCGACTCTTGTTCGCATGCTATTTTATTTTTGGACACGTGTCACTTATTTTCTCCGCATATTGCAAGCCATTACTTCCAAACTTATTTATAAAAAAAAAAAATGATATTTATCCAATAAGGATAAAACTCCATACTCACAAAATAATAGTCCTATTAAGTTGGATCTTATCTAATAAGGTGATTTATTTATAGTCTGATAAAGAAAAAATAGTGGAGTTTTAAGTCGATAAAGATGAATAAGGGTGATCTATTTATAATAGTGTCACTTTCACTATTCAACCTATGTTCATACAGTCCCTACATTTTATGTAAATTCCATCTTTTTATTGTAATGGAATTGCTTTTAAGAAAAGAAGAGGAGAGAGAAGAGAGAGAGAGAAACGCTTTCATCCAAAACAAACAAATTCAAAATTTTCTTGATAACGTCAATATCCAAAGAGAAACATATTTATTTTCTTTTTGTAAGTGTGAGTTTTTTTTTTAATGGAATTTATAAATAAAAAATAGAGAATTTATTCTTAAAAGTGTATGAATCTAGACTTTTACTCATTATTCTTGATAAATATCATTTTATTAGTGTAATTATCTAACTAAAAAGATTATAAATTAAAAATAAATAGTAAAAATCTTGATTCATGCACCAAAAATATTTGTTAAGATTACCTATTTATAAATGAAGTTGTGCTTTTCAAATTTATTATATAGACATTTCAAAAATGTTATGCACGAAATTTTCGATTGGCAACTTATTGACTTTGAAAATGTAATAGTTTCATTTACATAGAAAAAGCAACGAAAGATATATGTCAGAAAAACATATTGATGTTACTTGAATATCTATATGTGATCTCATAAACTTGACGTTTTTGTTTTGTTCTTTTTTTTAATCTTTTTTTTTTTTTTTTGTCAATAACATAAAGTTGGAGGTGGCAATCTTATAGTTATAGTAGACAAAAAACGGAGATGAGGTAATCAGGTAAGTGGGTGAGAGAAATAAGGTTAAAAGGATGTTTGGTTGGAGGATTCAAACTATGATTTTAATTATGGTTCATGCTTTGTTATAATATTTTTATCACAAAAATACACGTAAATCGAAAATAATTATAATCACATGATTCTAATCTATGAACTAAATATCTCCTAAGTTTTTGTAAATAGTGCGTGTAGGATTAGAGTGAGCGTTTTAAAGAGGGGAATGACTCGATAACACTATCGTATATATGTTTGGAACAAAAGGCTTGTAATTTACTGTATTTGTTGGACAAAATTGAAGTGAACATGTCAAAAGATAATGTAGCATTTCAATAATGTTTTTATTTTTTATTTTTTATTTTAATGAAATAAGACACTTCTCTTTTTCTACTTGTTTTATCCCTATAGAAATTTCGATGAATATCTAAGGTATTAAACAATTTCCCTCACCAGTTTAATATAACAGGGTTCAACAAGTTTTCAAGTAATACCACCAAAAAAAATATATATATATATATACTTTAATCATCAATTTTACTCTCAACCAAATGAATCAGCAATCCTTATTACATTGTGCAGTATATTGTTGAATAATATTGCTTCTGGTTGTTCTCCCCCATTTAATTGTGCAGTATATTGTTGAATAATATTGCTTCTGGTTGTTCTCCCCCATTGCCAAGTTAATTAAATGGGGGAGAACAACCAGAAGCAATATTATTCAACAATATACTGCACAATTAAATGGGGGAGAACAACCAGAAGCAATATTATTCAACAATATACTGCACAATGTAATGAGGATTGCTGATTCATTTGGTTGAGAGTAAAATTGATGATTAAAGTGGCATAACCAAGAAAAGATTCGTTAATTAGATTTCGTCCCACATTGGATAGAAGCTTAAACTTATGGTTCTATAGTAAATTAAAATGGAAACCGCCTTCTCCCTTTTAATACATTCATTCACACACAAAAAGATGCTCTTATCAGATAAAGACCATAAACTAATGTTTTTACTCAATACAACAAAATGCGTCTTAGGTCGGTTTAGTTTGCTGATTTGAGTTTTTAATTCGAGTTGAAATGTAACTTTATGTGAGAGTTTTTTTACTATAGTAAAAAAGTTAGATGTAACTGTTTCTGAGAACTTTTTACTGTAACAAACTCGAATTCTAAACTCGAATCGGTGAAATGAACAAGGCTTTAGTGTCTTCTAATGAGATTTCAAAAGATTTTGTATAAATTGCAGACGTTAACCACTCTGTATGCCACTCCAGATCTGATTATAATATCTTATTATAGAATCCACAACGCTTTTGTAGAGCTGAGCACTTTCAACAAACTAAGCAGTGAGTCTGCCTAAAAGTAATAAGAGCACTAACAGCTAGAGGCACTTTGATGTAGTATTTTTTTAAGGATGTATTAGTGAGATAAAATTTGTTAGTTTGCTTATTTATTTTGCTGCCATTATCTTCCATTTTCGCATTTTATTTACAATCACGGGGTATAATCCATATTTTATGGTTTTAAATGTTGTAAGCCTTCTTTATAAGGCAAACTATTATCAATAGAAAACGCATATGATTATCATTCTAGTTTGAAATTAAGTTTCAATCCCTTGTAAGTAGAACTGTCAAATGAGCTGAGTTATCTCCTTAGTGTGAGAGCACAACACGGCCCGACATAATACAATACAATAATTATTTATAGGCAGTATCGGGGCTCAAGTGTTGAGCACGTTGGGCCAACCACGATACGACATATCTTGCAAGCATGACACGGCACGACACGACACTTTTAACACTAAATAATACTTTTTATTTCATTTTTTTCTTTAATTTACAAAGAATCTATTATATAAATATGTGAAAATTGTGTTCCTTATACATTGTACTTTACTTCTTGCTAGTTGCTTTAAAAGAATAAATTGTTTTTGAATAAATCAAATATATTTCAACAATGTTTGAGTTTTTATATCAATTTTTATACTATTTTTTTGTTATGTGTATTTAATCATTTCTCACAAAAAAAAAAAAATTCAAACAGTCCATCCAAATTTAAGAAAAAAAGGCAAAACAATGAAAACTAATATTAAAATGGGATAGCACGATTAAGCATGTAGGCCGAAACGACACGATGTGATACATAAAGAGGCTAATGAGCCATGTCGGGTCAATAGATGAGGACTTGTGGGTCGGAATGATACAACACAAACAAATAATGGGACGTGTTAAACACGGCACAATAACATGATTGTGTCTAATTAAAGTGGATCATACTGGCACGACATGTCTCTACTTGTAGGTTTTGATTCCCTCTTACTGACCATCTTAGCCTTTCTTATTTCAAGATAGATAAACTAAAAAATAATTTAAAGTCCCAGCTTGCATCACGAAGCCTTTCAGAGAAATATGTTTAACTTGCCACCAAAAGGAAATAATCTATCTTTTCTGAATCTTTCAAAGCAAACTAGATTCTGTTGACTGCTAGAAGCACTTTTGAGATGAAGTCCATGCTCCAATGTACCTTGTATCTTTTTTTTTTTTTTTTTTTTTGACTAAAGACGTAATATTAAAAAAGCCATAAGAAGCTCCAAGTACAAACGGAGGGACAAAGCTCACAAAACAACAACCAGAAAAGTAACTGGAAAAGCCATTGAATGGCTAAAAGACCACCGAGTGGAATCAAGGTTCACAGCAAACTAATAGAACATCAGTAGATAATTAGCCTACTCAGAGGATGCCGAAAGAAAATCTCCTACGAAGGGTGAAGCGAAATCAAGTTCTACTCACCAAACAAGATCTAGCCAAACAACGGCCTTAAACCGATAACCGTAATCTAACACCAAACCACAAACCAGTTGGATAGGAAAACCCCTGTCCTTATTACAATTACGGAAACTACAACACGAAGATAGAGAACATCAAAAAGATCAAGCCAAAAAATTTGATTCCCTCAACATCGGAAATGACATGCACTGGACCAACTTTCTCGCCTCTTTCCCTCGACCTAGTTCTTGGAGTTTTAGTGGGAACGTGGCCCATATCTACTGTAGAAGAACAATGACCTTTTTCTTTTAAACGCCTCCGATCCGGTGACTGCCCATACTTCCGTCGACACGAACTCGACTCCGACGATCTCTGTGATCTCCCTGGTGAACCTTAGAGGTCGGCATCCCGGCAAAATACCAGACCACCAAACAAGAACAAAGACTAACAAAATGGGATAAAACCCACCATTATTGGAAACCAAAATACCCTGAAAAACAAAGAAAAACCGCCCAGCAATGCCATCGTAAGCCTCTGAGGAAGGGACAGTCGGCAAAGGACTCGTCAGGGGAGCTTCAAAAGACGCACGATGAAGTTGAAAAAACGCCGGCAAATAGTGGCTTCATGATCCTCGCCGGAATCAAACCACACCACCGCCAAAAGATGCCATCCATGGAGCGGAACACAACCCCGAGGGCGCTCCACCACTGGGCGACAGACATGTCAGAAAACACAGTCCAAAACTCTCAACACCTAACCACCGACTCGGAACATATCTGACCAAATAGAGCCACCGCAGGAACACCGCCCCACCACTGAAATGCCCAAGATGAGACGAGTCAGAGAATGAAGTTTCAAGGACGGGGGTCCGGCGACACGCCAGGAGGCAGCCCTAGAGCTCCGGCCAACGGTACTGGTGTTTTCTCTCTCTCTTACGTGTCTTTTCTCTCTACGTCGATTAGACCAAGGAGTTTTGATTAAATTGATTATGGGCGAACAATTGAGATTTGACTGAACGGATCTCCCAATGTACCTTGTAGTTGTTTAATGTTAAAGTTTGTAAGGCTTCTTTATTTCATTGATTTGAGTTTTCAGTTTTAGATTTTTAATAAAAAACTCTCAGAAAATGTCACATTAACTTTTTTTGTTACAGTAAAAAACTCTAAAAAAATATCACATCTCAATTCGAATTAAAAACTCAAATTCGTAAAGTAAACGAGGCCTAAAATTGCAAAAGATAAACATGTGGGGCATAACAAACAAAATAGAGGAATAAGAGTTAAAGAGTATTGGTGCATCACACTATTAGTAGTACCATAACAACTATAGGAGAACTCTATAAATAGATCAAATGCATTTTAAAGAAATCTTTGGTATGAGCAACAAGATCCTATGACGTTAATTTTTTGTTGCTAAAGAGAACATCAAATTAAGTTAAGCTTTCTAAACTAGAGGACCACGCCAATAGAATTGCTGAAGAAAACATTGCAATGCAATCTGTACAATGACATTCTACTTGTGAAGGTTGCCTATTCTTATCTCATTTTTTTTCTCTCTTCTAAATTGATATGAGTACTGTTAGTAGTGATCAATTATGCCCGATTTAACTTGGGAGGAGAAGTTCTCCATGATTAGAGACAGAGTAAGTTGTATTGTTGACCCAAAACTATTCAATATTTGCATAATGGATTCCAAACTTTTAATTTTAGTAAATTGCACCAGAAACTTTAAAATTAATTCAATTAAAGTCTAATAATTAATGACGCTATCAAATTGACAGTCTTGAGACATGAAATTTGCACGTGACATGATTTGAAAAATGACGATATTTAACTTTCATATACAAATTGCGTGTTTTAAACCGTGAATTTGATAACATTGGTTATCTACTGAACCTCAATTACAATTGTTTTTAAAATTCCAGAGGCAGTTAAAGTTCGGAATGCATTATATAGAAAACGAATAGTTTGTGGGCGACAGAATCTAGAAAACTATGCCAATAAAATTTTTATAGTTGGCAAGTTAGATCATAAACTTTTTAATTTTAATATTTAAACGCTAATTTTCGTCCACTAATTGATGACCGTTGCCGATTGGATTGATTTCTCAAGAATAATCGAATTTAAATGTCAATGACAAAGGTTTAGGATGTAACTTGCAAATGAAGAAACGTTCAAGATGTATTTGTGCAATATGCCTTTTTTTTTTTTTTTTTGCCCTTTTCGACAGAGAACGGTGTTCCACATAAATCAAAAGTTCCATTGGAGAATGCCCAAATTTTCAAAGGAAGAAGTTGGATTAATGAGGTTATTGACTCGTAATAATCTCACAACATGCCAACACATCTTCATCCGCGTAAGCAAACAGAGCGCCACTTCCAACAAAATTTGAAGATATAATAATTTGTAGATATCTGTTTCCACAAATTTTCAATCCTTGTCCTTGTCGCAGCAAAACCACAACCGTGGTTAGCAATAGTTTCTATAGTTTTCATTTCAAGAGATGAAAAAAAAAAACACAATTATAATAAAACATAGAAAAAAAAATTACTTTGGTTCATAAAATTTATACTAGAATCTGAGCATCTTCATGCTTCTATGAAAACGTGATTCCAAAAATAGAAAGCATGCACTTGCTATATAAATCTCAAGAAGATCAACAAGCAAATACATACCCATCAAAAATCAACATTTCATAAGCTTCCTAAAGACAAAATCTCTAATGAAGAGTGGCAAATGGTACATGATCGACAGAAGGGTAGAGAATGGGCCATAGGAGAACCAACGCGGCGGATTCTTCTTCAGAACGGCGGCTACCGTCTTCTTCGCAAACACTTCTGAGGGCGTTGCATTTGGTCTTTGAGAAAGAAAGATTCTCTCACGCATTGCTGCTTCAAAAGGTTTATACAGTTTCCATTCAGGCATCTGATTGTAGGTAGCCATGCCAGAATTTCCTATGTTTGATCTGATAGCTCCTGGCACAACAGTAATGACATCGATTCCAAAGGGCCGGAGTTCCAATCTGACAGAAATAGAATAGGAGGATCAGAACAGTGGCGCAGCTATTTTTTCTTCTTTTTTTTTTTTTTCAGTAGGGAACTGTATAGGACTGCAATCCGCCCAGCCATGTTATATGGTAGTGAATGTTGGACCATAAAGAGACAATATATACGTAAGATGAGTGTGTGGAAAAAATGCGTATGTTAAGATGAATGAGTGGCCATACGAGAATGGATCACATAAAGAATGGAGTTATTCATAGTAAAGTAGGTGTAGCACCAATAGAAGATAAGGTGCGCGTAGACCGCTTGAGGTGGTACGGGCATGTCCAACATAGACCGCTAGAAGCACCAGTTCATGCTTGGGAGGACATTCTTATACCTAATACTAGGAGAGGGAGGGGTAGACCAAGAATTACATGGACCGAAGTAGTTAGAAATGACATTCTACATCTAGGCATTCAAAAAAATCTAATTTCAAACAGAGCTGTGTGAAAAAGTAAAATCCATATAGCTGACCCCAATTAAGATGGGATTAAAGCTTGTTGTTGTTGTTGTTTCAGTAGGGAACTACTAAAAGGAAAACTAGATTTGTATGGGGAATAAGGACATTTGTATGGAACGAGGAGATGGTTATATAATTCAATCATTGTGGGAGCACAACCATAGCTTTTCTTATAAAGTGGGGATACAACCAAAGTTTTACAAAAAATTTAGGGGTAAAAATCAACAATGTGTTCGGCCACTGGATCAGAGTCAAAGTTAAGAGGAAACACGTGTGCACGCACACTTAACATGAAAGATGTAAAACGTGTGATTGGCCATGTCCAATAAAATGGTACACCATATACAGGGATAAACTTTATTCAATTGACCACATTCTGAAAACCAGAAGACTTCTTTAGCCAAGAAGAATTTCAATCTGCTCTATCCAAATTTGCAAGCATAAAAAATCACACATTTCATTTGAGTGCGAACTTTTTAGTGGAAGTGGTAGGCTACCACATGACTGAATATGTATTTCACCACACTGGTATAGTGAAGTTATAAATAAAGTTAAATTAAAAAAAAAAAAGAGTTAAAAAGCAAAGAGCGAGAGAGTGATGACAAACCTAAGAGAATCCGTTAGCGAATGTAGAGCAGCTTTTGATGCAGTATAAACACCAGACCATGGTCCAGGGGCCAGAGCAGTGACACTTCCAACGTTTACTATCTTTCCCTTTCTCCTTGATACCATGTGAGGAACAACAGCTTGGATCAACCTCATTGGACCTAAGAAATTACGAAACATGATTAGACAAAAGAATTGAATTCTAATAGGCAAGTGCTCTCTGGCTTATGATCCTTTTCCATGGAGATGAAGAGCTTGTTTGTCAGAGCTTCCTGGAAGCTTCTTTCGGCTTCCTGAGTCCAAAAACTGCTTCTATAAGTGTTTGAAGGATCTATCAGACTTAGGCTCTCAAGAAGAGCTTCTAGTCAAAGCCGCAAAATACAGTTGTTAAAAAAACTGTTTTGAATAAAACTTGAAACTTGTATCGAAGTTTCAGTTTGACATTATAAACTTCATTTTAACATTTTTGTCACTTAATGGAAAATTTTAAAATCACTTTGGCCTGTGAAGGCCTTTCAAAAGTGTGGTTCCAAATGCTAGCTGAAAAACTACAACTTTTGCTTATTTCTTCTACTAACTAAAAGCAAAAGCAAAAACTTTCCAAACAAGCCCAAAAAATAAGGAAAAAAGAGGAAACAAAAAAAGATGTACTTCCTATGACTGAGTAGGATCAAAGTTACCGTGAAAATGATATAATGGGTGGATTAGTGACATTAAATAGTGCTTAAAAGAACTAGTTTCTTGACATAGATAAACTGTTATATAGGCCTAATCTTCAGATTGAACTAAGCTCAATAAACTGTTATATAGGACACAAATGCCCCCACCTACTCAGTTCCTATAAGAAGACCTTTCAAATTGTTTATATGTCTTCTTAGTCTGTAGAGTTTGGTTCAAAAGCTTCTCACATGTAGTCAAATAGGATAGGATTTGAGATCCCTTCCAGCTTTCTCTTGAAAAGGATTTAAAATAACAAGTCCTAAACCTAACAACACATAAAACCGTTGTACAAATTCCAATTGGTCTCTAAAGAAAGAACAGATCCGGGATTACATTCAATTGAATGGCAAGATACCAGGAAGAAAAGCTACAAGATAAGAAGATACTTTTCCTTCCAATTTTCAGTATCATAATCTTATATACTTTCAACATCAGAAGAAAAGGAAAAGAGCAGTGTTTTGAAGTTGTTATATGCTATAACAATCACATGAATCCAAAATGCTGTTTTTGCTTTCATGCAATACATACAATAGCATGACAAATTTCGTACCACTAATAAACCGGAAATGTGGAAAGGAAAATAGGGCCACAAAACAGCCATCATTTTCTTCTTCTCTTGACATTCTACAATGAGAATAACATGATCATGACATTCGCTTTCAATTCCAATCTGATGCTTGAAATATGCTTTCTTTAGCTATTCACAACAACATAACATTAACAAGACACTCGAAACAAAAAAAAAAAAAAAAGAGAATTTTACCGTTATAACTCTATTTTGAACTGCAAACCTGTATAAGATTCTGTCAAATTTGCATACTTTTTCATTTTATTGTGATTTTGACCACATTGAAAGTTCAGATACATACACTATCCTGGAAACCTTCAAAAAAGAAAATTCTAATAATTAGTGTTCCAGAATAGTGAAAATGATCAACGAAAAAGGAAGTATAATGAGAAACAGTACCCAGAAAAACAGAGAGATATTCGTTTCGCTTGTTTGAGTTGAGAACTTGAGTTAAAAAGCACATTCAACGTTATAGTAAAAAAGGTTGAATTTGAGTTTTTTTGAAAGAAACACTGTAGAAAAAACTTGAGATGTGATTCAAACTTAGCAATGGTACAGGGCAAAAAAACTTCTAATCTAATTTGACAATCCCATTTCCAACAGTAATAAGAACAACAACAACAACAACATTTACATTTCCAGCAAAAACAACAACAATAATTTGACAATTCAATAATTATAATTAGAATTAAAGACTCATGGTCTTTTGCCTGCCATTCTGATTTGATGCTTGAAATATGCATATTTTGACTACTCACAACAACACTACATCACAAATTTTTTTTTAAACATAAGAACCATAAAAAAGGGGAAAGAATCCATAAATTTATGTGCTAGGATAGTTAAATAATCATCAAAAAAAAAAAAAAGGAAAAGAAAAGAAAGGAAATTGAAATACCATATAAATTGGTGTCAAAAGTGGTCTGGACGGCGGAGAGAGGGACCTCGGCGACAGGGCCGACGCACTGTACTCCGGCGTTGTTGACGAGGATGTCAATCCGGCCGAACCTCTCCAGAACATTCGACAGCGCGTGCTGCACACTCTCCTCCGACCGCACGTCGAGCTCCTGCAGGAAGAACGTGTTCTCGTCGTCCAGATCGGCCATGGAGCTCACCGACCTCGCCGACGCCACCACCAGGCAATCCTCCGCCGCGAACGCGCGTGCCAGCGCGTGGCCGATCCCTCCCGCCGAGCACCCCGTTATCACCACCACTTGCCGTCCGTACGACTCCGTCTCCGTCGACGTCATAACGGATCTCTTGGGATCTTCGGACTTAGTTGATATATGTTTCTATTTTATTGTCGTTGAAAACGAAAAATGTGAAATTGTTGTGGTGGATAGAAGTAGATTGTTATATGTGAAATTGTTGGGTGATATTTGTGTGTTTCCATAATTGAGTCGACGATATTTGGTTCAACAAATTAAAAATAAATAAATAAAAAAATTTGTCAATGTGTTTCCATAATTCAGTGAATTGACAGATTGTTGATGGAGAGGTGGGGTCATCTTGAATTTATCGCCCAGTCCCACAACTGAGTACTGAGAGTTGATAACTGCAAAATGGGTCAATTTATCAAAGTTACGTTAGTTTATTTTACTAATTTAAATTTTATTATAATAAAAAAAATTTAAAAATAGTTATATCTAAATTTTTTATTATAATAATTTTTTTTATATAAAATCATATTTTAATTTAAATTAAAATTTTAAATTAATAAATTAGACGTATTTTAAAAATATTTGGGTACAAATTTTACAGACTTACAATCATTATTTTAATTTTTTTATTGGTACTACTCTGCCTGTATTATCATGTTAGAGATAGTTGAAGAATTTACCGTCCACCAAATAATGAGAAATTCATTTACACAACTATTTAAAGAATTTTGAATTTATTTTTAAAAAATGTGTATAAAGATAACAATTGACCCAAAAAAAAAAAAGAATACATCTGAAGAAAATTATTTTAATCAATAAAAAATAAAATAGAATCACATACAAAAAAATTACGCTTACAGAAATAAAGTGAGGAACAATATATTTTTAAAAAAAATACACAAAAAATTAAAATGTAAAAGAAATTCACAAAAAAATAAAAATAAAAAAAGAAAAAAGGGAAAAAAAGCAAATGGGTTGTCCAATTAAAAAAACTTTTTATATGTTTGGAGTTGGTTCTATTTTTGTTTTTTCTGTTTTTTGAGAAAGAAAAAATGAAAACGAGAGAGAAACGCCGTTTGATACAATTAAAGACAAAAAACGGAAATGAAAACGTTTAGTGTAAAATGAGAAAAAAATGAAAAATGACTTTTAGTCGTTTTTCATTTTTTGTTTCCGTTTTCTCCTCTCTCGAGCACAGAGAGAGATAGAGACATTAATGGATTTTTTTTATACTGAAAATAATCTATTGATAAAACTATCAAACACATTTTCAAAAATGATTTTTATCTGAGATTAAAAATATTTTCATTTTCATTTTGATACAAAAAATAAAATCATTTTGGAACGAGTTTCAAATGCACCCTTTAGCTCTTTTATGTATTGTTAAATTAATTTAAAGATTACAATTTTCAATTGGACAAATTACGTGGATGCCCTCTTAATTATAGGTTTTGTCACAAAATGTCTCTCAAATTTTAATTATAATTTATTTTCTCCTTCAACTTCAGTGGTTCTTACAAATTTTTCTCATTTGTTAAATTCTCGGGTTTTTGGCACATATGATTTACTTCCTGTTATTTTTTTTTTTTTAATAAAACACCCCCTAAATTCTGTAATTAAGTGCAATTTCACAGTGTAGGCCAAGCACACTGAGATCTGCCATGTGGGGCTCACTCATTGTGAGATTAACTGGATGGGTTGAATAAATATTTTTCTTTTTGAAATATACTTGATTTTACATTTTTTTTTTTTAAAATTAGTTAGTATTTTTGACCATATGTAACATTAAAATAAAATAAACAATGAAAGCATTCTGAGAGTCAACTTTCTAATATATGTGTTGTCTTTTTAAGGTTGAGTTGGCTTATTTGCATGTCCTGTTTGTTAATTACCATTTTAACAGATTCTGTCATTATCATTAACTATCTCTTTGAATCTTTTATTTTTTTGAATCTATTTCAAATTCAATTATGTATTAAATTGCATAATAAGATAGAGAATTTATTTTGAATTTAATGTGTAATCACACTTGCAGATTTTACATTGGAAAATAATAGTGTTCTACTTCTTTGTATGTCAAAACATGTCACGATAACAAGCAAAAGAAACCGTCAACTATAGATATGTTAATACTAGGAAAATCAACAAACGAAAGTCAACTAATGGCTCATTTTCTGCACCTCTAAAGGAGCTATTTGCCACGATATCTCTCAAGTGATTTAATTAATATTTTGCTTAATTGTTTTTTTTTCTTTTCTTTTTTTTTTGCTTTGAATATTTCAATGATATGAATGTTAGATAATTTTAGAGAACATAGAGAGGTGAAGAATGAAGATGTTCCATAAAAAAAAATAAAAAATAAATAAAAATAAATAAAAACATTTTTTTACTAACTACTATATACAACCAAGACTAGATAGAAAATTTAATTAAAAAATGGAAAGAAAAAACAACTTCCTCTATTAGAAAGAATAAATGTACTTATCCAAAAAAAAAAAAAAGAATATATACATGTCAACAACATTATTAAATATCGGATTAATTCTTTTTTCCTGAATAATCTTGAGTTCAGGTTTCTCAAATAACATTTTAAACTCGTTGAGTTGTATTACATATTGTCAGCTTTAAATTTGTAAAGGGAAAAAAAATCGTTCTTTTTTTTTATTTGGAAAAGGGAAATTGTGTTCAAGACAAAAAGAAAAAAAAAAAAAACGAAATTATTTGGGGTTCAGTCTCCAATTGTTGATTAATTTTCACTTTGAAAAATAATAAATAAATAATACGTACAAGCATCTTGTAGATACACTGGTCCCGTTCATTCCACTGATTTGAGTTTAAAATTCAAGTTTTGCTATAGTAAAAAGTTTTTAAAAAAAGTCACATCTAACTTTTTTTGTTACAGTAAAAAGCTCTCACATAAAGTCACATCTTAACTCGAATTAAAAACTCAAATCAACGAACTAAACGGGCCTGATCGATTTGAGATTTATTACAGTAAAAAACTCTTATAAACAGTCGCATATAATTTTTTTGCTACAGTAGAAAGCTCTTACATAAAATCACATATCAACTCAAATTAAAAACTCGAATCAGCGAATTAAACGGGCCATGAATTTACTACTCGTAAATAATATATTTCTTTGCTGAGTAATATATATTACCATACACGCTATTGCTGAAGAGGTAAATATGTCAAAAAAGCAAACAAGGGATTTGATTAAATCTCTCTGACACAGATTAGAACAACGTGGCCAAAAAAAGAAAAAGTAGTCAGAAGTTTATTCAACACTGCCGTTACAAATAACTTTAGTACATCTTCACAAAATCACACATATATGAAACACATTTCTTTTATATATTTGCTTACAACTTATTTTCAGTACCTTTTCTACTTGGTCTCAACTTTGCCTTTTTGGTGAACATGTCAAGCTCAAGCTCATGTACTAATTCTAGAGGAAACATCAGAGAGCTCTTCAGTTTCCATTGCGCGGCGGTAACCCTAATGGATTACGACGAAGAAAGGACGGCGAGATTCATAAGAGTGGGGGAATTCGCCGTCAATCTGCTAGTGCAAGCGACACAACACTATTCCATCTTGATGTGTGCTTGTGTATTGGGTGAGCTTCAATGGCCCTTAGCAAAGAATGCTCCGGTTATCCGAATCGGGTTAAGGGCTTTCGTGTTCGCCGTCCCCGGGCTGTTGTACGGCCTCCAGTTCCCTCCTTCCTGCAGTGCACATGTTATGGATACTCTTGAAAGGGTTTTTCTCAAGTTCGGTCACTATGAAGACACAAGTCATGTGAGTGGAGGTAAAAACTCAGTTAACATTTTCTTTTCTTTTTTTTTTTCCTTTTTGCCTTTGTCATTACCATTTTCTGCATTGCACATGTTACCATTTTTTTTTTGTGATCATCATAATGTTGTTAATTTACCTTTTTGGCCTTTTTGTTATCTAATAATTCTATTATCTTTCTTGTAGAACTTTATTACAACAGATTTTGTTGTGCCAAAATACTACAATAAAGAAAAAAGAAAATCTAATAAATTTGTTTTATCTATGCAAAAAGAGATTAATTTCTTAATTTTGCTGGGTATATATGTCCAATTTTTGAAAAATTATGAAGATATTGTATATTGCTAAGAGCACAATTTTTTTTTCCTTTTATTTTTCCCCCTTCACTCCAAAAATATTTTAAGGGTTTTCATTTTTATTTGTTATACTATGTTTTTCGAGATTATAAAACATCCGTACCGCGTATTTTGGATTATATCAAATTTATACACTCACATTTTTCCGGTCAAGAGTTGATTTTGACTATATATAAATGATCTAAATGTCCTTTATATTTTCTAATTCTCATTTTTTTCTTATTCTTTTATTGTTTTCTTTAAGGATGTCTAGGTCTTTTTTTGGGTCAATATTGACCAATGACAAGTGTAAATTGAGCATAAATTCGAAATCTAGAATATGAAGTATGATATTTTTTGATACCTCAAAATACAACGTATAAAAAATGGAAAAAAAAAAAAACCAACATTTGAACTTGTTACAATGCAATGACACATCCAGAATTCTAATGCTTTAATTAACAAAAGAAACACACAATTACTTACAAATTATCTTGGTATTTTATCAATATGATTCATTCTGTGACAGGTTATCCATCACAAGACCATGAACCACAATTCTGGCAAAGAATGCGTCTAATAATTGAACCACTGGCTCATTCAGCACTGTCAAAACTGGGCCACGTCCCCGGAAGATCGCCTTGGACCGCCGCTCACGATGTCGAGCACTCGGGACTCGTGAGGGCGCTCCGTGTGTCGGCCACAACCAAGATGATCAGCCGAGACATTATCTCCGGTTCGGTGAAGGCAATTCACATCAACATCCATGAAGCTAAGACCCCAACAACGTGCAAATCCGAGGAACACGAGATTGTCGACAATAATATTGGAGATGATCGGACGATTTATGCTTCTATGAATGTTTTTACCGATCTCGTTGACGCCATGGAAATCGCTTGGATGGTGGCTTCTAGTGATGATCATCATTCGTCGGATCAACATTTGTTGTTGAAGAAGAAGAAATCTGATGATAATGGTCATTTGGTTTTTGTTGATGATGATGATGATCAGAAGGAAGGCTTGATCAGTGCTTGGAAATGGAATAAGCAAGGTATTATTGCATTCATGAAGGAACTAAAATCTGCTGAAGAAGTAGAGGAGAAAAGACTCGAGTGAAAACAAGTCAAATCTGTCTGAATTATCAATAGATTAGGAAGATTGTTAGCGAGCTAGCCAATAAATTACAAAATTATGCTGGTAAAACTATAGTTTTGTGTTCATTAAGGATTTTTATTTATTCATCTTATTTTTTGAGTAAAGACCAAGAGGGAAATGAGCGTGAGACAGCAAACTGCAACGTATACAAAGAACATAAGAAATAAAATTAGAGTAGAAATGGAACCAATCTTATGGTCGATTGAGCTAGTCTTAATTAGTGTTTAGTGGATTAATATTTCAACCTTCTTGTTGAAAAATGAAGCTTCTATAATTTTACCTAAAAAACGATATTTATCTCTTATTTTTTCAGTAGAACAGTACTTATAATGTGTTCCGCAAAAATCTGTTTGTGCCAAAATACTGTAAAAACACTAATTAATTTATCTCTTCTTTTCCTAGTAGAACAGTAATTGATTGGTTTTAACTAGACCGAAACAGGGATTAATTTTTCAACTTTGTTGTCAAAACAAGGCACTTCAATTTTTTTTGGAAATTTACCTTCATCGTAAGTGCATAGTGGACAAGTGTTTTCTTCTTCTCTTTTCCTCTTCATATGAAAGTATTAAAACTTGGAAACTATTGAAATAAGTCAGCATAGAGCTAAAACAAGTACAAAATTACAATTGCGCGGCACATTGTTAACACAAATTTATAACAGGGTTATCCATTACAAGAGACAATGAGCAACAATTTTTGGAGAGTAAAAATTCAAGTATTGAACCACTGGATCATTCAAGATTCTCAAAACTTGTCCATGTCCCCAGAGGATCGCCTTGGACCGACATTTCTTTCGAGCACTCAGGACTATTGAGGGTTCTTCACATGCCGACTGACGCTAGATAATAGACGAAAAAGCTAAGACCACAACAAGAGCTCAAATCTGAGAAACGCAAGACCGTTGACTATGGAGATGAATAAACGAGTTACGCTTCTCTAAGGCCTTGTTCACTTTGTGGATTTGAATTTTTAATTCGAGTTGAGATGTGACATTTTCTTAAAATTTTTAACTGTAGCAGAAAAAGTTAGATGTGACATTTCTGAGAGCTTTTAACTGTAAAAACTTAAAACTGAAAACTCGAATCAGTGAAATGAATAAGGCAATGTTTTTACCGATCTCATTGACGCCGAGGAAGTCCCTCAAATGGTGGCATCTAGTAGTGACGACATTTGTCGAAGAAGAAGAAAATTGATCATGATATTAGTCATGTGGTTTTTGTTGATAATGATGGTTGGAAGGAAGGCTTGAGAGCTTGGAGATAAACTCAAGCAAGGTGTCATTGTATTCATGAAGGAACTAGAATCTGCTGAAGAAGTAGAGGGAAAAACTCCATCAATAAAGAATGGGGTTGGGACGAGAGAGAAAAAAAAAAAAATTCGGCCAGAGAAAATAAAGGGGAATTGTCTGGAATACAAATATGATGAATAGGAAGATTACTAGCGAATATTTATTTAGTAAACCAATGCGCTAGCAATATTCCTATTCATTATATTGATATTCCATACAATTCCCCCTAAATTTTTCTCTCGCAGGATTTCTTTTATATCTCATTATATTGATTTTTTTTCTTCTACTTCTTCAGCATATTCAGTTCCTTCATGAATGCAATAAAGCTCGCTTATTCCATCTCTAAGCTCTCAAGCATTCCTTCTAATCATCGCGCAATTAAAAAAAAACACCATAGGACTAATTGGACCGGATTTTTAAAAACATTTAGAGAAGCATAACTCGTTTATTCATGTCCATACGTAGTCAATGGTCTTGTGTTTCTAAAATTTGGGACTTGTTGGGATCTTAGCTTTTCAGATGTACATGAATCGCCTTCACCGAATCATAAAGAATGGCTTATGATCAACTAATTATCTTGGCCATTGCCTTGCTAGCTTATCCACTAATGTATGTCTAGGATTTTGATTGGAATGTATAAGGATTTACAGAGAAGAAAATAGCATAGCAAAAAAAAAAAAAAAAAAAAAAAAGCTTATCCCGGGCACATTGGATAGCGTGTCAGAGCCGCGCACTTTGGGCGCTAGAGTGGCGCCCCTGTGCGCCACGGAAGCAAATGAAGGCGCGCACATTAGGTGCTGTGCGCGGGGTGCTGCTGCCGCGGGTGCGTTGGTGCACGGGTGTGCAGGGTGCTACCAGGGCAAGTGTAGGCGCAGGCGCAGGGTATACTGCAATTAGTATCAAGTTACTTTGATCAATTTTAGGAAAAATACACATTTAATAAAGAAATGTTTATTCTAAAACAAAATTAAGAGGAAAAAAAAACTCTAGTACGAAAAGAAATAACGTAATTACTGTATATAAAATCTAAACTTTTTATATAGTAAGTTTCTAACAATCCTCTAATATCTTGACACTTGCCATCCATCTATATCATACGTTTTGCTATTCCTAGTAGCTAATCTCCACTTTCATGAGCAACCAATTGCATGTGACTTATCATGCATTAATCAAAATTAATTTATTCTATTCTAATCTTTATCTTTGTCCACCGCATTTTGTAGATAATTTAACTTATAACAATTTGCATATAAACAAATTATAACCGCCTATGCGTATAACAAATAAACTAACAAAACAACTCTGCACTCTTCAGGATGCTAATCAGTTAATTAATTAATATAGCAGCTAATGTATTAGACTGGCATTCTCACTTTTTAAATCTCAATATACTAGTGAGTAATTAAAGGATGTTTGGTAGAGGAATTCGTTCCCTGATTCGAATTATGATTCGTGATTCGTTACAGTATTTTCTCTTATAAAAAATACACGTAAATCAAAAATGGTTCGAGTCACATGATTTGAATTCTCTAACCAAACGTCCTCGAAGACTATATATGTTGTCTTCTCTTTTCCTCTTTGTTTGTATTTTATGCGCTAAAAAAGCACAATAATTATAAGGACATTGTAGCCAAGCAGTTCCAGGTTATTATTTCACTTGAATATCATTTTGATTTTTTTTTATTTCCTAGGATTTTTTTTTTATTTTTCCTTCGAAAAGGAACGTACAGAAAACTTACAAACATGTTTACATAAATTGAGTAGGAGCTTGATGTGGTGCTTGTTGTTCGCACCCTTTTTTCTTGTAGAAATTCATCGCAACAAAACCCTATTAGCTAGCTTATTAAAAAAGCTCTATAATAGAAAATAGTCTACACACCGAAGTGTCTTTTATTCATTTCATACATTTAAGAATTTAATTTAATTTACTGTAACAAATGGGACTTATCCAGAGAGAGGGAGAGAGATTAAATATAAATTTAACAGTACTAATATTGATATAAACAACTCTTTAATCACTACTTGACAATGATAAAACACGAATTTTAAGGAAAAAATGAAGAATTTTTGTTTCAGGGTTAGCATTGTCCACGGAGCTTTGTGGCTAGGTGCCATTTGTGTTGAAATTATTCTATTCCAAGGAGCCAAGTCACAAAATTTTTCAGTGAACTTCTTTCATTCGTAGTTTTCACTTTTAACAAAAATTCTAATTGATTGGACCAAGTGAGACGTATTTAAAATCATTAGTGGTGACATTAAGGCTATGTTTGGAGTTGACAAAAATTCTAATTGTTTTTGTCTTTCATTCGTTGTTTTTGCATTGCAATCCTTTTAGTGAGGCTCATGGCTCGGGCCGTGGCGGCGCCGATGGTGCTTTTCCACCACCCATTATACAGCAGCTGGTTTGTCGGTGGCTACCTATGTCGTTCTTGTGTCAGTGGTTCTACCATCTTCGATCACGGTGGCCGTCTTTTCATTTGAAGTGTCGTTTGTGTGACTTTGAAATTTTTTTTTTTGGTCTAATAATGGTGTGGTGGATTTCACTGTGTACGATGTTTTCGCCATGTGTTTTAGGCTTTTTATGTGTTAATGAAGGTAATGTCCCCATCCTTCGATGTAGGTATTTAACTTAGTCCGCTGGTTTTCAATGTTATATGTGATCTTAAAGTTATAAGTCTCGAGATCTTGATCCATTAGGCTTTTTCATGGATTGTAGTGGTTTAATTGAAGGGAAATAGTAGGAAACATGCCGATATGAAAAGTTTAAGAAAGTATATAGGCCAACTTTAAGTTATAGAAATTAATAGGCCATAACTTGTCAAGTTATGGTTCATAATCAGATAAGTTATGGATAAACTTATCAAGTTATGGTTCATAATCAGACAAATTATAGATAAAAACCGGGAATAACTTGTCAAGTTATGGTTCATAACCAGACAAGTTATTGACGAAAACAGTAATTCGGCCTATTTATTAACTTATGTAAACTATTGGCCTATTAATTTTAATTCATCTCAAGTCTTGGCCTATTTTCCTCTTTCTCTCTTAATTGAAAGAGCCATTTCTGTACTTAATATTTAGCGTGCCTTTTTTGTTTTCTTATTGTGTAACCTCACGTGCGTTTCAATCTCTTAAGCGTTTCACTCAAATTTTTTTATGTTTTGGGGCCATTTGTGTCGATATTAGTATTTGTATTCCTCTAATTTGCAGTGCAATTTCCCTCTTTTTTTTTTTTTTAAAAAAAAAGTTAGATTGTTTTGGTAGATCTCGGCCAACAGAAATATGATGACTGAATTGGCCCCCTAGAGTCGACTAGCCGCCCACCGTATCGCCCAAAACAATGTCTTGGGATTCTTGTGGCCCAGTGTCCAGACGCGGAGTAGTCAAAGGGATTGTTAAATTTGCACCTGAAAATGCTATTTAAAAAAATAAAAAATAAAAGAAAAAAAGAAAAAAAAAACTCGTGAAAATGCTTTTAAAAAATAATGACGTAGATTGATTAGAGGCACTTTTTACCATCAACATATTCAGTCAAAACTAATCCAACCTCTTAACATTGCTTTATGTTTTGTAGGTTATATTCATTAATTTAAGTTTTTTTGTATAAAAATTCGTTTAAATTATTTGTTAGATTTTAATCAACTTTTAAATTCGTAGCTTTAGATCTAATTCT